TATTTATCATGCCATCCCTTTCTGGCTCTATTATTAGATTCAACTTGACTAGCCTATTCATAGATTTTTTTATGGCACTACCAATTCGGTAGTTTTCTCAATAAAAAATAAATTAGGGATTTAAATTTTACACTATCTATCTATCTATAGTCAAAACAATCAAAAGTACTCTTATAAATTGATTTGACGAAAAACTTAATTTTAGTTTTTAAGTAATAAATAATAAGCGAAAAAGCGAGAAGTAATGATGTCACAAGTTTTGAAAAAAAGTATTGAATTTGGCTGGTTGTCAAGTACCTTATAATAAATCTTGTTGTAACATTGTAGGTAACTACGCGATACATGTGACTTATTTTTTTTTGTCCAAATCATGAAAGTATCATCAACATTTTATTTCCATCCAATTAACTTATCATCAAATCGAAATCCGTGTGAAAAAATTATGACGTAATAAAGATAAAAAAAATTATAAGTAAGTACCTAACCGAAAACCGTTTAAAAATCGATCAATCATACATTTGACAGTGGCTTAAGATGGCCGCGGCGATAATTCTCTTGTTATTTATACGTGACAATAAAAAAATTAATAAAATCATTAAAATTTTATCGTAAGAAAGTGTATTTTTGTTTTTATATTATCAATAAAATTAGCTGGCTATCTAAATTGGGTTTTTATTTTACCTTGTTCATTTATCTGTGCGGTACTCATGATTCACTGGTATTTTTAATGGATATTTTCTGCATAATATGTGTTTTAAGTAGTATCTTGGCCAACGATCAAACGTATTAATCAAACGTATTACCTGATGGAAAACAAACAGCGCCACCCATCGCACCCGCAACAACGACTCAGCAACCTTTTGGAGATTAGGGGTTTGCAAATTTGGCTTGGGGAAGGATTGGGCCTTCGGTAAAACAGAAAACCGGCGTGAAAAAACCATAGCGTAGTGTTTTGCCGTGTGAGTGAGGCCCAATCTTTCCCCTCTCATATAAGTATATGCATGTTATTGGACAGGCTCGTCTTCACGTTCGAAGAGGAAGAAAAAAAACAAAATATACAATATTTACACATTTTATTTCTTTTTTAAAAATAATACTTTTTTTAATCAACAAGTATGAAGCAATCTATGTGATTTTTCGGTCGACAATATTCTTTTGTACTTATAAAATTATATATTCAACTATATTATACATAAATATTGCTATAAATGGAACCGCCCACAAAATGGCTGGCCATTTGACTTCAGTCGGCCATTTTGAGTGCAATAGACAACGCGCAATTTTTTCTTTATTTAAATTAGCACAGATAAAATAAGTTTCACTTTACAGTGTAACTTTTTGAATGTGTGCGTAACATACGACCATTAAATTAAAATTATTACGTTTTTAAATATAGTTTTAACAGTCAACACTATTTTTCAATGATGAACAGATGATCAGTAACATCAGATATTATAATCATTACAAATAGTTTTATTTTGTTCTACATTTCAGTAATTTGTTGTATCTATCAAATCCAACTTAATTTATAAGTGACTTGACATACAATTTCTACGCCATTCACTTGGCGTTTTGGTACAAACATTGGCATTGCTTTGATATAACAAAATATACTCTACCTTTAACAAAATAGGGTTCATTTTACTTTAACGTTAACGCCAATATCCTTTACCAATACGCCAATGCTTATATAAAAAAGCAAGATCCAGTCATAGTTACAATCTTAAATTCATTTAATGGGAAATGATCCTAATTACTAGTTACGTTAGAATATTTTTCCTTTGAACAGCATTAAAGACAATTTCATTTCATTTCTTTATTTGTATTTCTAACAGATTATCTTAGTAACTCGCTGCCCAAGGAGGTTATGCTCTAAGTTTTGAATGTTATAAATTCTTATGAATTGACAACACTTGGTGGTGGAATATTTATAGCATAAGTTAGTTATTTGAGACCATTATGTAACATATAACAGTGCTAATTCCTTTTCATTATCAAGCAAATTTAGACTCTATTGTTATCTTAAACAACACTCAAATAATAAGAATCATAAAATTCAGCATGTACTAAAAGAACAGTAAGTATTTTTTTTATTTCCGTCCGTTAGGTATTTCATTACGAATCAAATACTTTCGACGATATTTTTATTTTAATTAACATGTGATATCACGGTTCTTGGTATTTTTTACACTGAGCGGCGACTAAGCGATGATTCGCTCTAAAACTAATAGTTTTGTCAAAGTATTATTTTTATATATCTTAAAGACAGACGAAAAAAGTTTTTAATTTTCATATCTTATCAAGATCCTCTCCTTTTATATTTAAATACGATGTTTCTTACTGACATAAAATTAGAATAGGATAGAAATATAGAATACTTTAAACAGAAAAGGATAGCAATAAGTATAAATTTAGTTCATAATAAAATTAGCACTAATATATTAGATGCTTTTTAACTTTTAAATATGTCACAACATTATTTTTGCATGTAAAATAAGGTTTTATGAGTCTTTAATATATTTATTTTTCAAAATTTCAATCTATATTAAATACGTATCAATTTAATAACAAAATATGGATATTTATAACAATGAAATACATTTAGGTGTCGTGACGCGACAGTATAAAATGATGTAGATAAAAATATATGAAATTTTATGACTCATTCTGATGCGACAGGCCACGACACACAAATGTATGTCCACCATTACAGACATTAAAATAACACCATAACAAATATTGGTAGTAGGGATAGGCAGTATATGGTACAATAAACTGTAGCATTTTTCAGCTTTATGTAAAAGTGGGCAAAAATATTTTTATGCACTGGGCGAATCTCCATACTGCATACCATCATTAGGCATACCCAAAATACTTTGCCCAACCTTAGAATCGAATATGGGACTTAATTTACAAAATTATAATTCCTAAAAAACGACCACATTATAAATTACATAAGGCATAATGGCAGACACATATAATGAATTTCGAATTTAATACCAACACCTAATAACGATCTGTTTTATATGACATGCGCCCTTTTTTTAAGGGGTAAGCACAGATGCACAAGGTTCAGCGCAAAAAAGTAAACACTGTCTACAATTAATTACGTAAAAGAGAATTTCTTAAATTAAACATTTTGTTGACAAGACTAAATGCTTACACAACGTTGCACTAAATAAGGAAACATTTTTGAATTATACCGAACAAAATGGCTTCTTTCAAACTCCAAATTTAGTATAAACAGAAAATTTCTTCAATTTTTAACTGTTTTAAATGCATTTTTAATGTTAATGCTACATTATTTATCCGTTTTATTGTACTGTGTATTTAAAAATAAAAACTTTTTGCATACATACAAGATCACAGACAAGTATAAAAATATTAGTATAAACCTACACAAACGATTAATTAATTTTTATTATTATTATTATAAACGCACCCGGCGTTGTTAAGCGTTTAAATATATAGATATATATATTTTAGCTAATTATTTATATAATAATAATTATTATATCATCCATACTAGGCTAGAAAAATAACATTTGGCAATTATTTTACTTGTCTTATTAAGGATCTCATACAAAACATTGTATGAAATTCTGTAATAATATTTTGATAATGTATGAAAAAGCACCCTCCCAATTTGGTTCTATCGCTCACTCGAATTAGGATTAATTTTGATACTGACTACGAAAAATATATTTCCTTTAAACTTAAGCACAAGAATTTTATGAGTTCCATTTATACTAAGGACTTTCAGAATCCTTCTTAACATTTTAATTAATTTAATCACCATTTTCAAATTTTAAAATAGCGATACAGTTAAGTCAATATCATTAATAATAATTAGGTTCACATGCCGTAAACGAATCTCAATAAAAAAAAACATTCAAAATTTTCCTCAACGTTCGATCTTTTTTCTCTCTCACACATTTCATATAACCTAAACATACATACCTACATATACATAAGACGCAAGTTTAAAAAAATATAACCCTTTTACAATCTTAGTTGGCATAAATTCTCTATACAAAAGAAAAAAAGTGTTTTTACGTAAATTGCTGTTGAAAAATATACCTAATTTTTTAAGATGTAAAGAAACAAATTGTACGTCATCTTCAAAAGTGTGTTCTTTTTTTGAAAATGAATTGATATAGTGATCATGAATTAGATAGCTTATTCTTTAAGGCGAGGGAAAGATTAAGAACTCTTTTTATTGACATGAGATGTCAACTATATCTATATATGCATAGGAACTATTTATGTAATATATATATGACTAATATAATAGATATTCCGATACAAATGCAGAAAACTAGCAATATAGTAGAGGAAATTACAAAAAAACTATATTTTTTAAAAAAGATTGATGAAAAATATCATATTATTTTTTAATGGATATAATCAAGAACTGTAGGTATGTTAAAAAACCTTTTATAATTCCTTATTAAAAAGCTGCAAAGTAATACTTTAATTTTATAAAACCATGCTCTATTTGGGAAAAAAGTCAATAAGATTAAGATTAAAAAAAAACATAAGTACACAACCCCAATCAGTTTAAAATTTAAATACAAAAGAGATTCTAAACATAATATCAGAGCACCTCTCAAGGAGAAACTATCGATAACTTTTGAAGAAGACATACAACTCGTATCTATACAATCGATATCGACAATCCCGGGCTTGTAGGACAACACCAGCTTAACCGTCACTATCTATAGGATGTTTCAGTTATCAACATGCGTTTCACACGTAGAGATAGGAATATAATAATTTCCATAGATATCGGCGATTATTTAAATCGAAAAAGTTTTAATAATTGGTTTCGTATAAGATTGAAGTAAAAAAAAATTTGTTTCGTTTGATGGTGCAACTTAAAATGAAATTATTTAAAAACTAAATACAGGAAAGGAGATGAAGTCTCGGCAATTTTCTTACAATATTTAAAAACAAATGGTTTTGTGGATAAAATGTAAATCTCGACGCGCGATTCAGCATAGACCAACAAGTTTATTATTTAAATAATAAAATTCTAGACCGATACCCTAGTTAAGTCAGTGTTGCCCTACGTCTAATACTTTAACGTTTAACAATAAATTACACAAAAAAAACAAAGTGAGATTGTCTATAAGCTAAAATAACAATGTACATTACATATTGTCACTTACACGTAAATTTACAACTAGGACTTATTCACCGGGCCCAATGAAGAGGGCGCTCACAGCGAAGAACAGGAACACTATACCACCGATTATGGTAACTGTGGAAGAAAGAATATTCATATTAATATTACATTAAATAATACTAGCTATTCTCGCGCGGTTTCACGCGCTGCTCGGCTCCATTTAATCGTAGCGTGACGTTTTATAGCCTATAGCACTCAGGAACATTGTAGCTATCTAACAGTGAAATAATTTTGGCAATCTGACCAGCGGTTCCAAACATTACCCCCTACATACAAACTTACAAATTTTACCTCTTTATAATATGAAGTATAGAAGTAGGTATAGATAAAAATGAAAATGGTTACGTAAGCACATAAAAACGCATGGACCAATATTGCCAATTGTTTTTTTTTTTTGTTGTATTTATTATTTTCAGGAGAAGTTTCTTATCAAAAAAGTATTAGAAAAGTAGAGGGGGAAAATTAGGAAAGTGACCATTTCGTTGTTAAAGAGATAGTTCAACCCGTGCGACGCGGGGACTGGCCGCAGGCCGCTAGTCTATAATATAAAAATGAAAATGTGTTTTGGTAAGCGTATAACTCAAAAACGCCTGGACCATTTTTGTCAATTCTAGTCTTGTAGTGATCGTTACCGTCAGGAAGAGATTATTATGAAAGAAAATTTTAGATAGGAAGAGGGGTAAATCGGGAAGTCGCCTGTTGCATACCCGTGCCAAGCAGGGACGGGTCGCTAATATTATAAAGATGAAAAGTGTTTGTTAGTTTGAAGGCGGTAACCTCGGGTTCTAATTGAAAAATACTTTTTGTTTTTGCAACAACGGAGGAGTTACGATTGTGTTGCAGGCCTTTTGGGGATGGGGGCGGGGAAGGATTTGGCCACCGTTAAACCAACCGGCATGACTGTTTTACGCGGGTTTTCTTTGAGGCCGTGCATTTTTAACTTTGTATTGTATGTATATTCAAGCTATCGGGGCAGACTATGTGATAATTTTGAAGAATTTACTTTCGAAACTGTTGGGGACGTGATTTAAAACTAGTAGAGTACCCTCGAAAAGTTTCGTAGTAACCGATATATTTTTTTTTTCTGTAGCATTAGTAGCTATTGTACACACAATAATGTTAACTGAAATTCAAATGATCGGACACCTTAGAGGTCAAAATGGGGTAGAAATAGAAATTGAGATTTGTTTTTTCAAATATTCCAGTTTTAAACGAGAAAATCCAGACATTTATCCAGGACAAGTAAACAAAACAGACAAATATATCAGTCTGGACATTGACACAGAAATAGCATCATGGCTGCGTACGTTTGCCAAACACGTAATAAATGCGTCATAACAATTTAGCTTTTACGTTATTTCACTTTTTGCGATGATATAAATTTATACATCCATCATCACATTTATTTAGTCGAAAATATGTAGGTACTTACTGAGATTGAATTTGACCTTGACAGTTATTTCAAAGTATCAAAACACATTTTCGCTTTTTATATACTATTCTAGCTATAACTACATATTTTGTTATTGTGCTCTTTGGAATACTTCTATCACAAACCCGGAGTAGCTTCTGAATAACGAAAGCTGTTACTTTTACCACATGGAAAGAAACTTAGTGCAGCTAAGAAGGTTTAACAACTATATACCATAAAAATATCAACTATAAAAAACTAGCTTCAAAACACTTACCAGTCCTAACAGAAATCTTGGCGGCAACCATGCGACCGCCTATCACAGCCAGGCCAGTGCAGAGTGCGTGGCCAAGGGATCCCCCAACGACGACGCCCACCGCGTGTTCTCTCGTCGCCAACACAACGGTGGCAAGCTGCGACCTATCCCCCCATTCAGCTAAGAAGGTCAGTGACGCAGCTTGGAGAAGCACCTTCAGCACGGCGTTACGTTTCCGCCGCCTATTTTCAATTTGACCTTGTTCTAACATATCTAAGGTCTCTTCTTTTTCTTCCTGGAATTAGGAAAAACTGTTTAGTTGGAGCATATTAAAGTTGTTAAAGTGGTGATAGGTCTATCTAGCATTGATTTTGGCAGGCAATGTTTTGGGAATTTATTTTACGAATTTTGGAGACACCCTATACTTATGCCCTGTGAAGAACAAATTTTGAATTTACCCTTTTCTGATATATGGATTATTTAAATTTATTCTAACCCAGTAATTGAAAAAAATGACTACTTTTAGTGGTGATCCGATTACACGAATTGAATAATCGTGCTGTATTTATAAATTCAATTGTATTTGCATTAAATTTTGAAAGAACAAGGAGTGTTCTTAAAAGTAATTACTAAAGAAACAATTATGAGGCATTTTACTTAGAACTAGAAGTCGTTTAGATATCAACACTTAGTCACCTGCAACTGGACTAGTCTAAACAAATAAGGATATAAACGACCTAGTCTTTCTAATTCTCATTATCTACTCTAATGTTAAGTAAATTAAGTTACAAATCCTTTTATTTGCAAAAAAATCAAATATTGTCACACAATTCTAAATTTAGTCCACGCGTCAGTAAAGACTATGTTTAATTACAGACATGTAAATACAGATAGTACATGCTAAGCAAGACAAGAGGCTGAAACGACAAATATTTATAATCATGAAACGGACTTATGAAAAAAAAACAAGATTCGCTTGCAAAAAAACAACATTGCAGTGAATAATCTGTGGTGACTCGTGTCTTTTTACATTTTTGAACATTTGGCTTTTGAGTATTGTGTATTCAGCCTTAATGAATACTACGGACAATATAATTCAAAAATATAGTGATGAGGCGAATCAAAATGCGTGACATTCCAGGCTTCAAATATGCAGTATATAAGAAGATATGCAGTTGAAGCATCATTTTGCATTTTAATAGTTAAAAGTTATGATAGAGCTGATAAAATAAAAAAGACCGAATTTTATAGTGGAAAGATTTCAATACCACGTTTTTTAAGACAGAAATATTTGAAACCTAAAACAAAATTACGTGCGCAGTTTTTTTTTAAAGTTCTTCTGAAAAAAGTATGAATGAATGAATAAAGTACGCACTAGAACCGGTATTACACAATCAAAGGTTAACTAATGCAATATTTACTATTTGATGGTGTAACGCCTGTCTAAACAACATTCTAATCAAATGCTGAATTCCTTTGCACAATCAAATCAATTTATCTATCAAAGCCTTTCTTGAAACGAATAATGGTATGGTCTGTGCATAACAGAACGTAAAAAAGCTAAGGCTAAAGAAAAAAATAACTATGGTGTCATTCGTACTGCCAGGCATAATGACGTAAGATCACCCTCAGCGGTTCTGATTGCGCCGAGCTGCCCGCTACGGGCTCCGCGGGGGACACTGGCCGTCTCTCCACATCGGGGGACGAAGGCCCCGGGCTTTGGGAACCAGAAGTCACCACCGACGTCGCGTCAGGCGACTTCGAACGCTCTTTTTGCGCGTCCTGTAGTGTCAATACTTTTCAAACTCGGAATTGCAACTTAATCGAAATTATGTTCCATATTCAAATATCTAACCGTTATTTCCACAGACGAAAAAATAACAACTTATTCAAAAACAAAATATTTGTTTCGATATTTAAAAATCCCCTTCCCCTTTGTACGCAAACAAGATGGCGCATCGTGCGAGCCGGTTGTAACTGGGTCAATATAATAAAAAATAAAGAAAGGAATTCAACATTTGCAGGTACACTGGTATTAAGACTGAAAAGAATCTACAAATACTTAATTAAATCATAAACACTATCTTATCTAATAAACACGGTACTGTTTAACGTGAGATTTCTTCAGTTAATTGACCTTCATTCTCGCCTAGTTATTTTTAATAAAAATTGCGACTAACAACAGCAGAATTTAAATTCGAAAAGCGAATAACAGGCCGTCGTATCACCGTCAGATAATCCAAAAATATCCACATTTTAACCAAATATTTCAAGCCTTTCTACTTATATGCATGCTTTTAATTAAAACAAAGGCAATTGACCTTAGACACCCTTACTTAAGATTACTTCATAAGATACTAAGATAAGGAAATATACTAAATATTCGATAGGAATCATGTAAGACAGTAACGATTAACGATATTAATATCGATTAGAGAATATATTATACAGTGTGTCATGTAGCGATAACATGGTTTTAAAAATGACGTTTCGGATATTTAATGAAAGATAAGTACTGAATACGTTAGGTACTGAAATTAGCAATTAGTTTATTTGTGCCAACGATACTTGGATACGTATAATTATTAATGATATGTCTTTGTTTGGAATATGCATTGTCTTTTTAAATAATTTCCACTGTTCTTTTAGGTAAAGTTCTAAAGCCACAAAACAGCGTCTACGATTCTACGGAGGGCACTGATTTTAAAAGTCTAGATTAGTTTATACTTAAAGTCTTACTTAGTACTACAAAAAAATAAATTTATAGTCCAAATCCAAAACTCAAATTGGAAAGTCAAAATATTTATCCCAACTAAACCATAAACTGGTACATTTGAAACGTCAAAATAGGATAATAGTCCGTCTGTCTGTTCATCTGTGAAGCTACGTGTTCGATCCAATGTGTAGATTAGAATGAAAAAGTAGATGCATCAATAGTAAAAATACTATAAAGAAATCTACTTGGATAATAGCGTTTTGGTAAAGTTAAGAACAATTTCTAAGTCATACATAATAAAGACAAACGATTTATTGCAAATGAATAAAAAAATATAAAACGAACAATTAAATAACAACAGACCGAATACAATCTCTTTGGTAAGAAAATAGGGGTTACGAAAAAAAGAAACAGAAAAAAAAGAAGCGGTGAAGATAGAATTGGCATGGCCACGGCGCCAGCAAGCGGTGGGCTATAGAAACGATTGCTAATCAATTATTTGCCAAACGTAACGGTGACCCCGAATGGTGCAATAAAGTCTAAAGGTATGAAGTTATTTTCATTATAGTAACAGAAAAAAAATTTAATGTAGGTCCAAACTTTTAAAAACGTTAAAAAAGTTACTCCCATAACTGTTTGTCTTTGATTTGTCTTTATTGACAATTAATATGGCCATTGTCAATAAAGACAAATCGGAAATAGACAATCGTGTGCAATACCCACGAATTTTTTTTCTAGGTAGGAAAGAGAATATTAGGTATATGACAAGACCAGAAAAAAGTTAAAGTTTATATTACAATGTTATGACAATAAAAAATTAGTAAAAATTTCCCTGCGTCATAATATAAAGCTAATTATTTGATTCTGTTTCGATTTGAAACTATAATGTGATCTACAGAGTAATCGTCATTAAATTGAAGCGACGCTTGAAATAAAATAATTAAATAACGATTAATCATAGATTATAATAATTATCTGTATGCCAGATAGGAGACTGGAATTAATGAAAGCCGCGAATTCGATAAACGTGAATCAAGAATTCTGATTTCTGATATATTTCACTAATTGTTTTATTATGAAGTTATGTTAATGAGTGGCCTGTGTGTATCGGATTATCGTGTTAAATAATATTGATGAAGAACGATAGGTAGGGAAAATTACCATTTTTGCCATGCCACTGATAAAAAATAAATTTCTGATTTAAAAAAAGGTATATATTGAAGACTGACTGATGTGTCCAACAAGGCACATAACAATCAACCTTAGTATATATAAAAAAATAGTTAAAATAAAGGAAGAAATAGCATAAATCTATCTGAAAATGAATAGAGGGGATGATAACGATAAAACTTTAAAAGTATTAAATTTCATATCGAAAACGTCACGTGTCTTGAATCTTGATAAAGCCTTTCTATCTATCGAGGTCTGCAGCGCATTACGCGTCCAAGTAACTACTCATCATTAGCCAAAAAATAAACATTAAAATATCCTTGTGCCATTTCAGATAGCGGTGTACGAAAAATTCGTTGAACTAACGAAAAAGGGGAAGGAGATTTCAGTAAGAAAACAATTGAAAGTAACTATCTAGGCAGTACTTTGCTTGAAGAAAATAATTTTGTATCACACTTCCCTACATTCCAAACACATAAATAAATCGAGGTTCTAAAAAAGAAATATTAAAATTAAAAATTGTCGTTTCAAATCAAAAAAGTCCCACGTACCTGATCTTCTCTTCTTTTCAATTCGCTTTGTACTTCTTCTAATTCTTCTTGACCTTCGTTGGGATCCATTTTCCAACCGTCCCTTAACATTTTTATACCGAATATCGCGAACAATATAGCACTTGCGTAGTACGTGTACACTCGAGGTATAACCGTGGCTATCCATCCGAATGCCGCTGATAATATTGTCATGAACACCAATGCAGATATGGCACCAGCAAACACTATGATCCTCGGATGTTTCATGGCCATTATAGCCGCTATGAAGAAGGTCTTGTCTCCCAATTCCGAGACAATCACCACGGAAAGGGAGGCGAGGAAACCTTGCAAGAAACTGCCCTGGATCGCTGCTCTCTGGAAACAAAAGAAAAACAACCATTTTAATAATGTTCAAAAAAGGAATTGTTCTTAATTGTATGGTCTTTTTTGGATACATTGCTTAGTTCATTCACGCGAAAAACAATGAAATACGTTTTAAGTCAGGTTTTGGAGTCATAAAATTATAAGGAGGATAACTATCCATATAATAACATACAAATTGATATACAAGGATAAGACCATAAATACCCCGTCAAACAGCATTGGTAAAGAATTCGCAATGCATCAAAATGCTCTCAGACTTTCGTAGGCATCAAGAAAATACCGGTTTGCAGCAACATTCTATTTTTCTACACAACTAGATCCCGTGAACTATTATCAAGCCATTGACTCTAAAACCGTTCACCGGTTTGCTTAAAAACATACAAGATTTTGAAAAATAAATCTCATATTTAGAATCAAGAATGAGTGGATAATTCTCTTCTCTTTGTCACCTACCCTTGCACACTCAGTGTAAAAAGAATCTTCTTCTCTCTTTAGTACTCTTTATTTATACATCTATGGATTTACTAGCTTCCGCCCGCGGCTTCGTGTGGTATGTTTTTTTTATGTAATTAGTCGGCAAACGAGTAGACGGATTACCTGATGGTAAGCAATCAGCGCCGCCCATGGACACTCGCAACGGAGGAGTTACGAGTGCGTTGTCGACCTTTTAGGTATTAGGGATTTGGAGATTTAGGGATTGAGGAGGGATTGGGGGAGGGGAAGGATTGGGCCTCCGGTAACCTCACTCGCACGGCGAAACACAACAAAAAATTGGTCAAAAGTAGCCTATGTATGTATTAATCCTGGGTATCATCTATCTACGTACCAATTTTCAATTAAGTCAGTCGGTAAGGAATAACAAACATACATTCATACACTCTCACAAACTTTCAAATTTATTATTTTATAGAAGGATTTCAAAAGCTACGCCAGACGAGCTCACTTGCCATGTAACTTGATTATTATTTAGATAATTATACAAAGGCAACAATTAGGAAGTACCTATGGAAGCAACTAAATAAAGAACGGGGAAGACCTAAGTCTTGGCATGTGTCATCAAATTAACTCACAGCATCATATAAGTGCAGTGACGTACCGTTTCGTACCATGCCAATTGGATATATGTAGGTACCTAGAATTGTGACAAGATAGAAAATTTATTGCTCTTGTTAGAGTAAATGATCTTGGAGGAGTTGTCTTTAAGGCTTCTAAGATGAATAAGACCTTAATGGCGAATAAGTTTGTAACACATTCCGTCTCAAATTATTGATCGTGGGTGTTAACCTTATCATTTAACCATCCAAACTATCCAAACTAATGTTATAAATTCAAAAGTAACCCTGTCTGTATGTCTTTTCTTCACGCCTAAACTACTGAACCTATTTGTGTGAAATTTGGTACAGACATAGCTTAGAACTCGAGAAACAACATAGGATAGTTTTTTAACCAAAAATCTGCAGGTTGTCACTATTCCACGCAAACAAAGTCGCGGGCAAAAGCTAGTTGTTATATAAAGTCTCCTTACTCTGTACCTGTTTGCAATAATCTCAAGAACCCCTGAACCGATTATCATACGGTTTTCACAGATTTTGGAGGAAGCAGTGTATAAGTGAAGGCTTGAATACCTATAGCTACTTCAATAACATAATAAGTAAAGCGTAAACCTTTTTCTTACTACACTGTGTAACCAGGACGGAAATTAGTCACGGTTGAGAGGAATAAGAGGCTGCAGTTAATTTTTTTGCAGATCCTCTTTAAAAACGGACACGGAAACCTTCCTGTACGTAGGTGATAAACAATTACATTTTCTACATTACTAGATAACAGGAATCCCGAGTAATCTCAACTTATATTTGCACGTACTGCTCCTAACTTTATGGTTCTGATAATAATTAAATTGCTGTGCAGTTAAAGATAGCATGATAATGTAGCTTAGCGAGTAATTGTGTTGTGAAAACGAAATGAAATGTAGTTGGGCTTATCACGTGTTATTAATGTTTTATACTCCTGCTGAGGAAGATTATGTGAGAACAATTTCTTTTTTAATCAGATGTTCCATATTTGCATATTGTGCATAGCATTATGTTTAAGGTATTTTAGAAGACTACTTTCATCTCTATTGTTTCGTAACCAGATTCGATTTCACATTGACTGGTTTTACTCAAAACAAGTTATTATAAAATAAAAATAGCATTCTTGTAACTTTATCACTTCGTTGTTTCCCATCATTATGACATTCTTTATGTGATTAATAAATAAGGAAATGCCAATATTTTTGAAATTTCGCCCTGTTCGGTTTCCGAAACTGCGTCCAAATAATTTTCTACTTATTTCATTTCGGACATTACAATAAATGATAAACTTATCATTCAGTTGTAGTAACCTAAAGAAAGTTTCGCGACACAATACACGTACGATTCTTGGCCACGCGCGAACCTATTAGTGATGCATCGTTGTTTTAGCAGAGCTATAAATAAAACATCTTTCTGTTCGACAATGGATACTTGTTTCTGTACATGAAATATGAATACATGTACCTAATCATTAGTATTCGTTCCTACTTCTTTTAAGTATCTTATAAATGCGCGTAAACGTGTTATTCACCTGATGGTATGCCACTCGTCAAGAGCTGACATCCTGAGACAAGACCGTTTGGGTCCTAAAGACACTCCCGATACACAAAGTTATTATAAGCGCTATTTCACGCCAGTTTTTAGTAAGGCAATGGTATCACTCCGGTCGAACAAATTCATGATGAAGCATTGTTTAACCGTGTGAAAAATACACAAATGTAAATTCATATGAGCAGTTAAAGATAGTGGATTTTTCTCTGATACTGTCAGTTTTGTTTGTACATTGTGACGTCATATCGTGCACCATAGATACTTGCATAATGTACACGTGTTTGATGTGCGAAGTGTGGTGTGGAGTGGCGTAAAATAAGTAGCGAGTAGGGTTGTCGCAACACAATTGTAAACAAATATGTGTGTATATCAAGAGTTAACCACCGCTGCCAGTTTTTTTTTGTAATTCTTTAAAATACATCTCTCGCTCAGAGAGAGGCGTGAGGGAGTGTAAGTCTATTTATTAATGTCTAAAAACACCCCCGTTCCTTCTCCTGCTCTAGGCCGAGGCCGCGGTACCTTATTACGCTTGCCCCGCAATCCCGGCTGAGCATCGGTCTTGTAGGGCGCGTCTGTGGTGGTCTATTGGCCCTAGAATAGTACAGAAGTTGGATGTGGGTAGCATTTAGTGAGAAGAAGTCTAGCACTTAGGGAAAAAGGAGCCATTACACGATTTTGATGAACCGGCTTTGTCTGTCTATTCAAGTAACTCGAAAACTACTGGATGAATTTTATGCAGTTTTCACATAAGGATTATAGAATTGTTTATGAGAAAGGCTGCACTGGAAAGGAGAACAACGGTAGGAGAACTTTTTGACTGACTGAAAGGTAGTTCTCAAATCTAATAATGACATAGTAACACATACAATTACACCTGTCATTACAATACATTTGGGTAAGTATCATATTACGAAGTTTCGTGTGATAATTATGGAGTAACTGTCATTTACCTACAATTAACAAACGTTTTGTTTCATTACACTTGATAAAGGTAGATAAGAAGATTAATTAATAGTTTTTTAGGTAATAATTATTTGTCTGTTTCTGTTGTCAAGGACGATGACGTTTGATTACGAATGATGTTTAATTTAAAAGCAGCAAAAAGGGTGCTAAGTACCTAAACCCAAAAATCTCCTTATTATACGAAGATGGTGAAGAAGAACAAAATTGATGAAATGATAAAAGGCAAACGAGAAAAGGTAGAAGGTAAGGGAGAAACGGTAGAAGGCAAAGGAGAATGGTTGGAAAGAAAAGCAGAAGGGGTTGAAGACAAAATAAAAAATATAGAAAGCGATATAGAAAATGTAGAAGGTAAGGGAGAAACGGTAGAAGGTAAAGGAGAATGGGTAGAAGGAAAAGTAGAAGAGGTTGAAGACAAAGGAAAAAAATAGAAAGCGAAAGAGAAAAGGTAGAAGATAAGGGAGAAACTATAGAAGGCAAAGGAGAAATGGTATATGACAAAGGAGAAAAGGTAGATGGCAAAGGAGAAAAGTTAGATGGCAAAGGAAAAAAGCTAAAAGGCAAAATATCGTGAGGGATTCCTAGAGATTAACTTTTTCTTTACATAGTTTTTGGAGCACAGATTAATGTTACGTCACATAGAAAATATTCCTTGTACTAAATGCATAGAAGTTTATAGAACATGTGAGAAATTGCACAGCTATTGTCCCTAATCTATAACAAATAACTATGACAATGATACAAATGGCAAATATTTACTACGTTTGTTATTATATAATGTCGCGTTACGATTAATAACGTGTGTTGCGTAATAAATAAGATTGAGATACGTGCCAAGAGGCTCATTTACGACGAGGCCCGACTTTAAAGTCTCGAATTCAGGCGCTTAGATGCAAATTTTTACATCGGACAAAATTCTGGAAACTAAGCCACCACTGACGGAGCCTATCAGGGTCCATGTTCAGCAAATTGTGGGGCAAGCGTAACAAGTTACCGAAGCCTCGGCCTAGTCAGTATCAGTCAGCAACGTCGCCCTGGGCGAAAGAAATTTTTTGATGACTTTCCAGTCACAAAAAGCTATAATAACAGCAGCTTGGGTGGTTTTAGTCAGAACACTAGCAAAATAGGAGAAAGCCATTAGATGAAGAAGAAGCCCTCTCAAAAAAAAAAACCACCAAAACTAACAGTCGAAAAGTACTTGGAAAACCAAATATTTAAAAACGCGGTATTACCACGAAGTCGTTTTATCATAAATTTCTTTTAGTACATAGTACATAGTACGTTTTTATTACATATTTACAGACATGGCGTGTTGGAAGTTTTTAAATAAAGCCATGTCCGTCTGTACGCGTTTGCTTGCGTTCAAAGCAAGAATTAATTCTCTAAGGGCTGGTCTTTCAATAGTCAGATACATGTTATCTGAGGAATAAAATTGTTGCTGTCACTGTCTTATACAAACATTCTAACGCGACAGCATCATAATTATTCCCCAGGTAACTTTAAGCCAGAAATATGGATTCTATTAACCTATACGACTCTTTACTTTATCATCATCATTAGCCCGTTTCAGTCTAATGCTGGACTGTCCAATGGAACGCCACTGAGCTCCATCTTCAACTCTACGCAACTACAGCTAGCAACTTAAAGCAATAACTTCTTTATTTTTATTTACTTAAGGTCTCTTCTTCTATGGGTTTTCAAGCATCGTCCTCCCCACAAGAAAATTGAGTCTCTTCTTGAGTCAACAAACTGCATAGCAACTTATGCTTTGTTCAGATCACGATTGATAGATATATTGAGTCGTATATACGTAGTTATAAGATAAAATGTTCTGACATGAAAGTACCGGCAGTTATAGGTACAAATATTTTTATCAAAACTTCCTCGAGATGCCATATGGAGGCAAACTATATCTTTATTATAAGATCTATACAAGAGGCACGGCGGTTTACATAGTATTTTTGGTACCATTAGTAATAAAAAATTATGGTAAATTGATCCTTAATTCACCGAACCCCAAGCGAACGCCGGCGTGCGTGCAGCTATTGTTTTTCTATTGCGTCTCGAATTACTACGACTGAAAAGTTAAGAAGGGAACTTAAGCTTTAATTCTTGAAATGAAGCACATCAAATTAGATTTCTATATATGTATTTAATTCGAAGAATGATTAAAGAATTTCTATACTATATTTTATACAGATGACACAAAAGGCACATCTTATGATAATGAATTACTGTTCGTTCGGGTCTCTATAACTCAAGAACCGGCTGGACTTGGCTTATTTTGGGTCTTAAAATATTCTTTGAAGTTCAGGGAAGGTTAAAAAGGTCAGAACATATTTGAGGCAGTATGGAATTCGCCGAGACAGCTAATATTTGGTACTGGCTATATAAACTTTTAAAACTGGCCTTTAACATGTAAAATAACAATAAAAAGGTGAATGCACTATGCACCTTTTTGTACAGAATTTCAACTTTCCTAACCTCCAAAAAACAATTTATATCAGACATAATTTTATCGATATCGCATCAATGAACGATAGGACGAGCATCGATAAAGTTTTGACAGTTTCTGTATCAGTTTAACATGCATCTATACACGTACACACATTTACGTAGGCTAAGATATTTAAACCTATCGAGGATCTACCAGATGATATTTATAAGAGCCTGAATCACCTATCGGTACATTTTGCTGCCGAACATAAAAAAAAATTATACTTTTGGTCCTGAACTGAAATTCTACCTGATAACAAAATTGTGAGGACGGATGGCGCTGTTACTGGGCAACCAGATGATATCTTACAGAGATCCGAGAAGAATTCCATACTTGAAAATTACAAAAACGAAATACACCATAACAATATTTTAAGGTAAAAAAGTCAAAAGTACTTCAAAATGTACAATTTCATTCTAATCATTGTTGATGAACTGTTGGACAAATCAAATTGAACAAAAACGCCAAGAGCTGCGATTAAGTGCGGTTATTGTATTTTACGAAAATAATCTCACGGCATCATTAGCTGAACTCCTAAATATCCCACGACGCGACGGTAACATCTCGTCACGTGTTATTGGACACACGAGAGCACCGAATGTCTGAAGTATAGTAAACATTTGGGAAGCCGGCGAAAATGAACCACGTGGCTTAACACGTGCGTGTCAAAAACCAATTCTAGTTTTCCATCAACTCGATGTCAAGGGTAAAGGTAACAATGAAATAAATATTGACGAAAGCCGCTGACGTCAATTCCTTACAACTCAAGTCAGAACTGCATCCAAACACAAAACCAAGTACAATAACATTCACGAAATTGTGAAAAATGTCTTGACGCATAACTGTGGACATAAACATGTAAACAAAAGAAAAATCCCTGACGCTGATGTAACAACAGTTTTTTAGTAAAAAATACTAAAGGAAAATATGTTAACAATAGTACAAATCTGTTATAATTTGGGATATAATTCAGTAAGCTACGACAAATATTCCTAATGACTCCTTCCAATGACCTTTGGGCGAGGTCACTGAATGGTAAAATGCGTCCGATTACGGATAATGGGTATAGCAAAGCCGACGAAACGGTTTTTTCGTGAATTGTGATACACTCAAATATAGTTAGTAAAACGAAAGCAATTTAGAATATGACAAGTAAACTAATTGAAAAGGTTATTCAATAAAGTATTTATAAAGGGTTCGTTGGCCTGATAATTCTAGGGAATAGTCAAACGATCAGAACTGCCTTGTGATTACAGAGTCTATTAAACTACCAATTGCCGGAATTTCCAATTTAAAAACTTTTCAATCACTCGCTGTTTTGATAAAAAGAAATGAGGTAGACTTTAGGTACTTTTCTTATTCGGCAATGTATACAATTATCAGAGGCATAGGTACATGAAATATACGTCACATCCCGAGTTCTAAAAAAGAAATGCCAGAATGTGAATCCCTCCTTTTAATATTTTATCACGCAATTCAAGAGATCTGACTAACCTTTGCGAGGTGTCTTTCGTCTTTCAAATTACTAAACATCAGTATATGTAGTAATTAACTATTTCCGTTGTAATCGCAGTTTTAATTGCTAACAAGACAGCTTCGTTTGTAATTTTAAAATGCGTTATTATATAGCCTTAGAGATTAAGCTGAAGATTTTTTTTTTTATGTCCGTGTCACCCTTACGTTCAATTCACAATTAAATGATGCTCCACTATTATTATAAACGCTGCAAATTAGTCACGTAGATAGTCTAGATTAACACACCAAGGATAATTATAATTTATTATAACCCTAATCACGCAATTGTCCAGCATTAATTAGGTAATAAAAACTCCTTCGTTGGTCCTATAGTTGTAAACGCGACCGTCAAGCGAGGATTTTTTTATTTATTTGCTAAATCAGGAAAATTGTCTTTTGGGTTTTTCCTAACTTGATGATTATTGTAGTAAGTTGTCAGAAATGTATTCCATTATAAGAAAAACGGTTTATAATGAAATCAACTACTATTCAAATACTGTATTTATGATAGAATGCAATCCAATATACATATTTCTGAATAAAAAATTACGTTTTGTAACCGCAAACTTTTTCAACACTAGTGTTTGTAATATTCTTTATCATTACTGGACCAGAAAAAATATATAAATGCCATGGAGTGTTGTAAGGTTTTTTTTTTGAGTGGAAAATCATCGAATTACTTTTCCCGCCCAGGGCCAGGCGGGAGGGAGTGTCAGACTCTTAATGACTAAAAACCCCCCTGTTCCTTCTCCTGCTCTGGGCCGAGGTCGCGGTGCCCCGTTGCGCTTACCCTGCAATCCCGGCTGATGAGTGTCGTAACGTAGCTATCAAACTGGCGGTACACGAAACTCAAATCTAAGACGACGAAAAATTAAGATTTTCTCCAATATAAACATACTACCTTTTACTCCCCTTCGGTCTCATCATCGTTAATCTACCTACACTTATTCTACACTATCTACTTTACCAACTCTATCCTATTCTTTGTTCTTCTTCTGGTTATAATTGGTTCAGCCGTTCTTGACTTATAAATAGTGTAACTAACACGACTTTCTTTGATATACCTATATATACATAATATAGATATAGGTCTAGAAAAGCAAAGAACCAATTCAATTACAAAAACAAAACACTATCAATAAAGTCCTACAAGGAAAAATAGCTCACTAGCGCCGTAAAAAAAGGCAGTCCAATAAAAATTACGTTTAAACAGAGCACAGGGTGAAATTATGATCCCTACCGCGGAAATATAGGGCCATGAACTTGATTGTTATCGTATCGATCTCAGCTGATTTGTATGTATGCCTACACTGTAGCTTCGATACATACGCGTATAAGTACCTGAATTTAGAAATCATTAGCATGTTTTCTGTAACTAATGTGTGTACGCATAGTTGTGTTATGAAAAAATTGTTTATTTGTGCAGTAGTGTTAGGAGTTAGGTAAATAAATAAAAGATGTTGTATGTTGTGTGGATTTTCTACATCCCTATACATATATGCCCCTAACAATGCTTCCAAATTCTGGACCTAAATTATTTAAATTTTTGTTTTTTGTTACAAGTTGCTCTGTAAATTTCTTGGTTTGCTCTAAAGCGTTTGCTTGGGTAAAAGCGCTCAGTTCTATACATTTTTTGAGACTTTTATTTCTAAATCCGTTTCCAACTACTCAATACTTGTATCGTAGTTGCATAATTGGATCTAAATATCATACTTTATCTGGTAAATTATATAAAAAAGGTCAGATTCAGAGCCCTTGTGAGCCCTTTTTAATGACTAAAAGTATGTAAAAATATAATTGAATCCAAGTCAATTACTGAATACTTTGGTTATTTTATTAGAGTCAGGCAGCCGAAGTTCAAGCACTATCAACGAGTACGTATACATATTTGTTACTGTAACCATAAAATGTGGGTTGCCAAACTCGTACTGTTTCCATGGCAAAATTGGCTCACGCTGCCAGGAAGTCATCTGAAAGATCGCGTGTTTAGTGTCTGAAATAACACGTGTTTTCATTAACAGTTTGGTTATTATACAAAATTGATTTAAGAACTTACATACGTCATCTTCATTTACAAACGGCGAAACTGCGTGGAGTTTCGCCGTTTGAGTGAGGTTACCGGAGGCCCTATCGTACCCTCCCCATCTTCGATCCCCGAATCCCCTAGTAACCCTCAAAAGGTCTGCCATAGTTGAAGTAGTAAGTCCTTTGAAATTACGAGTGTCCATGGGCTGCGCCGATTGCTTACCATCAGGTAATCTAACAATATAAAAAAACTGGATCCAAATACAGTTAGCACGCAACGAAACACAACAATTTAAAATACTCATCATTGTTTTCCTTCAAAATTGAGTTACACAAGGCTGATATTTTCATAATACAATATTTTTAGTGAGTACTTTATGAAAATAACATGAATACTGTTTTTGTAATATTAAATAATGATGTTACAACATTTTGCCAAGGTCGGTGCGTGCGTTCGAAGAGCAAAGCTTTCTGCTTTACGTCACCGGCAAGCACTTTGAGATTAACTATCAGATTGCATGTTACCCTGTACTCACATTCGTAGGCCATGAAGTATCTATGAATATATGGAAGTACTCCGAATTAAACGTAATAGTAATAGTGTATTTTTTCGTCTATTCTATTCTAGAATAGACGAGAAAATACAGCGTTGTGTTTCGCCGTGTGAGTGAGGTTACCGGAGGCCCAATCCTTCCCCTCCCCCAGTCCCTCCTAAATCCCTAAATCTCCAAATCCCTAATCCCTTAAAGGTCGGCAACACACTCGTAACTCCTCCGTTGCGACTGTCCATGGGCGGCGCTGATTGCTTACCAGCAGGTAATCCGTCTGCTCGTTTGCCGACCTATTACATAAAATAAAAAATATTCTAACACCGGTGACCCTAAGGGGGATAACGGAAGGACCATCTTAAGTCAGTTGTAGTGTCACCAAACGAATCCGAGGAGGTTTTAATTGTACGGTTGGCATAGTGACTGGGCAACTGGCTACTGTGTGGAACGTGTTGCATGTCCGATTCCCGCATGGAACAACGATTTTTGAATCTATTGTAGCTTCAGGTCTGCGCGATTTGTGTATGTGAATTTATTTATTTTTAAACTCACCCCCAGTAGAAGCAAAATTCGAGTGCGGGTTTTAAAAAAACCATAGACTCCGATAGTTGTAGTGTTTACATATTAGTATCTTCTTTATCCATGGAGTATCTACTTTATCCATGGAGTATCTACTATAAATGGAGAATCAAGTATTCTGTAAATAAGTTTACCTTTACAAGTAAAGCTAATGGAACCCTAACATACTTTTAAATCTTTAAATAATGATAAAAAGTTCAGTTACGTCCATTCTTACATCTATACACATCACCCGCCCTCGCTTCGCACGGGTCCAACTATCTCGCTATCAAAGGGTCACTTTTTCCTTATCTTCTCCTCTTATTTTCTATACATTTTCTATGATTAGAACCTTCTCCTAACAATAACAAAGACAACAAAAAAAGAATTAGCAAAATTGGCGCAGGCGTTGTTGAGTTATGCGCTTACCAACACATTTTGCGATCCATTTTTATATATAAAGATAGACATGACCTTAAAATTGATTCAACAATATCAAAAACTATTCTACGATAATATTACTAAAACACAAATACTGCAGTTGGATGCGCAAACGCAGACAATCCTACAGGATTGTCTATATAAGATTACAATCTTAACTGACGCTGTGGCACGTGTGACGTGTACTTATAGAGTAACACCATCGCTCTAATTTCGTAGTGTGCAAATATGAGATAATATATTTCTATTTACACTTCCAAATAGTTTTTAAACATCGCCTCTTATTTTATTAAAGGCTTCAAAATCGCACGTGTTCCTACTGTGTTAAGGTATAAAACTCAGTGAGTACTCAAGATAGTAGGTGTTTATTAAACAATTATCATTATAATTGTTGAGTTGGTTAAATGGATAATTTTCTAAACTAGGTTTTTCCTTTTTCCTACAATTAGATTATAATGTCGGTTCCGAGTCTGAATTTAATGGTGACCTTCAGAACGCACGATAATTAATAATTAAACGTAATATTCAACGTAACTATAGCGAAACAGCGTACTGAGGCCTCGGCCTGGAGCAGGGGTAGCAAAATAGGAACCGAGTCCCCAGGGTTAGGGCGAAAGAAGGGCCATGTGATGAATTTCCCTCATCAAAATAATTTGATGAATATATGTAAAACCTCCGTGGAAATAAATGCTTGCGAACTTTTTTTCGCAATACGGCAACACTGTCTATTTCAACCTGTCCTGTTCACATGACTAAAATGACAAAAATCCCCTAAATCTACGACTTACAGTTATTTTTTTAAATTTCTCAAGGTAACCTACAAACACGATCCTAAAAAACAAATCTATAAAAACAAAAGACATTACACAACTCGACGCTTATTACTATAATTTTTCACACCCCCGTGTTGTTGCTATACTGTTTGATAGATATGTTTAATACATAAACTGTGGATAATTTAACTAGCTATACTGTTAGCACGTAAACATTGGTAAAGTACTATTTAATGCCTCAATAATATATAGAAATAATTATAATGTAAATACGCGGCGTAACAATAGGGTACTTTCTTTCAATGTGAGTTACCCAAGGTTCGGCTCAACCGGAGTGATACCACGGCCTCAAAGGAAACCGGCGTGAAACAACCACAGCGTTGTGTTTCGCCGTGTGAGTGAGGTTAACGGAGGCCCAATCCTTTCCCTATCCCATCACACCAAATCCCTAAATCCGAAACCCTAATGCCAATAGGCAGGAAACATAACAATTAAGTTGCGAAACGATTAGGGCTTCCAAGAAGGAAAAATAGGTCAAGAGATGGCGCTTATTTAAATTTTATACCCTTTTGTAGTACTTAACATTCAATATTGAGTATGGAAACGGGCCCGGATAAGCAAAATTACAATAAAATAATAATTATAATAAAAAAAATCTTTGAAAAATTCCTTCAAACCGTTTCCGAGCATTGAGAACCTAGTTTACAAGGGTATGTCGCAGAACAACAACAATTTATGACTAACCAATAAAATATTAGTTAAATGGAACAATTAATCATAAATATTTAATTAATTGACAGTATAAAACCTGTTAATTGCAATGACCGTCGTTGATATACAAGTCATAATTCTTGAAACAAAACTAAAGGTTTTATTCCAAGAAAAATAGTGTTAATACTTCATGAAATATGTTGTCCCTGGAAATGATCCTGACCTTTTACAATAGCAATGTTTTCTATAGAATAAATACTCCTGTACATTATAATAAAATTTACGGATTAGAAGTATCACTTTGAATTTCAACCCAGCTGAACACCTCGAGATAGAAGTCCAAAGCAGCTTATTTGGAGTTAATGTTCTTAGAACCAATCCACTGACATGCAAATAACTGGTATTGGTTATAGGAACCCCGAAAATGGGAGAAGATTGTTAAAAAGAATTTTAGAAAGATTGGATACAAATCTACCAACAAAACCTTTGAAAATGATAAAAAAGATGTTTTGAGATCAGAGTTTAAAATTAAATGAAGAACGAGTCACCTCTAATTGTCAGTTTGCGAATTGAACATAATTATGCATGAATCACAATCACAAAGTTTAAAACAATGCAATAAAAGGTGACCATTATTGTGTTTAATACTTTTTGAATAATACTTCGTTGTTTAGTATTGAGCCACAGTTTGAGTTTTTACTTCAACGTGAATCATAATTATGATATTGGCCACCACTATAATACTTTTTTCGAACTGTCAAATGTGACAGGTAGGTTTAATTTGTATTTGGAATAGCGTTTTGTTACATCGAGTGTCACGCATTTAAGGCATTAGCATAATTATTGTTTATTAAAAATACGGCTTTAAAATTTTACGTACAATTATTATAGAGAAAAGGCAAAAAAGTATTTTTTAAAAACATCACTACTTTTACTTTTTTATAACCAAATGTCCTATTCAAAACTAAAAGTATTGTTCAATTCGAGCAGGATTTTCGAAGATAGGCGCGTTAAAAAACGAGCAAAACACTTTTCATATTTAAAACTCGATACCCTAATTTTCTGATTTGGTTAAAGTTGCACATTTTCGTTTTTAAGTTCCAACGACATTACCCATGACAGCAACAATATTTAAACTACACATTATAATATTTAATATCTCTAAAATTACTACACAAAATGTCAAAACCGAGTAGCTTGGCCCATCTAATACCAGTATTATGCTGTTACAAATATACATATGCATATTCAAATTTACGAATACGAAACGCTAAACTTGAAACGTAACCTAAGGCAGCTTTTAGCCAAGTCCTCATATTCCAAAATTGACTATAAATCTAAACATTAAAGCTTTAAAAATAACTAGAAAATGAAGGTTTCTTCAAAATGAATGCACATGCATATTTAAAGCTACTGTAACCATGGGACGGATTGTATAGTATCGATCGTTAAGAGTCGAACCTACTTGCATGTCATGGACTTAAAAAGCGGTTTTTACCAACTAACTAGTTACCTACTGGTCATAGTGTGATGTTCTATAGCATTCAGCCTTGCTAAATAAACGGACCAGCTACCAAAAATAAAAAAGAATTGTTAAAATGTTATTATAGAGATTAACGCGTTTAAGCAAACCATCAAATTAGGTAGATGACAAATGCTGGAGATAATCTGTGAAAATTTTCGAATACGGAACGTTTCTGCGTATAGTTTTCAAATCTGTGTTCTATTTTCAAATCAATTGTGGCCGTTGAAAACAACACTATATAAAATAGAAAAATAAAAGTTAGGTATTACTAGGAATCAGGGTCCAAAATTCAGACTCCTGTGATAATAAAAGTTCCCATACGGACTTTGAACATTCGTGCAATAGATTGCAATATGAAAAGAAAAAGAAAGTTATCAAACAATAGTAGGACCTACTTTTAATAACAATAACAACAATGTTAATAAAGAAGTTGACGGAGCGTCGATTATTTAAATTGAATTTTGAAGGAGGTTTTATCACAATTCATCGGACGAGGGTACAAAAGTACAAAATCTGGCGGAACGTCAAACTGACAGTTCTGCGTGCGCATTATGGAGGAGAGCGAGCGCTGTGACTGTCATCTGAGACGGATCGCCGACGTCCGTTATTTTTGTAATTTATTCGATCTGATTATAAAATCCTACGCCCTGCGATGGACTGTGAAGACGATGATCGGGATGTTGATGTTTGTACCAAACCCCCGGTGCCTTCATAGTTATTAGTAACTTTATTTACAAACAAAACCTAGCATAAATATTACGCAGTTTATTGACAATAATAGATTTGCACCTTTTGATTGGTTATTACAACCACCTCGGTCATTGTCCTCTCGACCCATTCATAGATTACATTGTCATTACGTGAGAACAAGGTTCATTAAAACTAACACGAAATCAATGATTGTAAAATTTTAATAGGCAACACGAAGATTCTTGTTATTTTCTTACAACATTTTTAAATGTGGGAGAGCCATGCTTCAGCACGAATGGGTCGGCTCGACCGGAGTGATACCACAGCCTCGCAGAATACCGGCGTAAAACAACCACAGTTTTGTGTTTCGCCGTGTGAGTGAGGTTACCGGAGGCCCAATCCCCTATCCCTTCCCGATCTTTATATTCGCGACCCCTATCTCCAAAAGGCCGGCAACGCACTCGTGTTTGTTCCTTTGGTGTTGCGGGTGTCCATGGGCGGCGCCGATTGCTTACCATCAGGTAACCCGTCTGCTCTTTTGCCGACTTATACCATAAAAAATGACAGTGTAAATGGGTCTCTCAATAAGTTAAAAATAAACTATTGAGTACTTTTTAATGTTATTTTTTTATATAATATAACGGCAAACGAGTGTAGGTACAGATTACTTGATGGTAAGCAATAAGTCAAAAGTCAAAGTCAAAATCATTAATTCCAACTACACCATAAATAGGTACTTTTGAAACGTCAAAACAGAATAGTAGTCTGTCAGTCTCAGTGAAGCTAGGTGCAATACCAGACTACCACTAGAGTAGTTGTGATTGCGTTGCCGACTTTTAGGGGATTAGGGTTTCGAAGATATAGGGATTGGATGAGGGGACTGGACCGGTTACCGCACTCAACGTAACACAATATTTAAAAAAATATCACATTATCTTTCATTGATTATAGGATAAGCTTAGTTTTTTATGCACATTTCTAGCTAATGTTTCAGTCGTACCTATTACGCAATACAAAATCCCGTACAAAATTATTAGAAAATTGACAATTCGAAAGAATTTTAAATCGGTCTAGTCGTCAAGTGGGCAATTTTAGTTATTACGGTTATTAGTAATGCGCTTGAGCTTTTCGACTAAATAGCTAAGCCAATATTGATGATTTTTTTATCGGTACAGGTGAGACCTGGAGCGTTCTGAAGGTTTTTAGGAAACTAGAAGAGCAAGGATTTTGGTTTAATGTACAATACGAAATAATTTGATGGATGGAACCGTTAAAACGATTGTTTTTTAAGAATGTTGTTGGATTTTAAGAATAATGTGGAATGGACAAAATTACTTTCAAAAGAGAAAGAGGGAAAGCCAGAAAAACCATATAAACTATCTCATTCATTCATAACAACGTATTCCTAATACTTTATTTAATACACAACTTCTATAACAAACAATTTTCGTTTTTGAACTCGCTTCGTTTGTAACTATAATTATTTTTGGCAGACCTAATTGAATGGCCAGGGTTATCGCCATTGAACGAGTAACAGTTACGTGTATTGTTTTGTAAATTGTACAAAGTACTACGTAACAGACAACATAGGTATTTTTTTTTATGTAGTAGGTCGGCAAACGAGCTGACGGATTACCTGATGGTAAGCAATCAGCGCCGCCCATAGCAACGGAGGAGTTACGGGTGCGTTGCCGAACTTTTAGGGATTAGGGATTTGGAGATTTGGGGATTGAGGAAGGATTGGAAGAGGGGCAAGATTGTGCCTCCGGTAATTTAACTCACTCACACGGCGAAACACAACGCTGTGTTTGTTTCACGCCGGTTTCCTGTGAGGCCGTGGTATCACTCCGGTCGAGCCGACCCATTCGACGATGACTATATGATTATGACGACCTTTTTCATCCGTAAAGGAGTAAATAGAGATTTTAAAGTGTGGGAGAGCCATGCTTCAGCACAAATGAGTCGGCACGACCGGAGTGGTACTACGGCGTCAAAGAAAACCGGCGTGAAGCAACACTCAACGTCGTATTCCGCCGTGTGGTTGAGGCTACCGGAGGCCCAGTCCTTCCTCCTTCTCATCCCTTATCCTCAAATCTCCTATCCTTAAATCCCTAATAACCCACAATAGGCCAGCAACGCACTTGTTGTAAATTCTATGGTATTACGAGTGACCATGGGCGGCGCTGATTGCTTACCACCAGGTAATCCCGGCTCTTTTGCCAACCTATGTCTTAAAAAAAGAGATCTGCAATACGTTTTGACTGCATTGTAGGCGCAGTGTCTAGGCAACTGGCTGCTGTACATTTCGCGGCTTCGATTCTGTCATGGAAGAGCATTTTGTGTGATCCACAAATTGTTGTTTAGGGTCTGGGTGTGAAGTGTGAATTTGTATGTGTGTACCCACGACACAGGAGAAATTCCTAGTGTGGGGAAAAAGTTAAAAAAAAAATATCTAAACGAACTTTTCACCAGTTACTTACGTCATAGGTAACAAAAAAAAAATTTTAACGTCAGACAAAATAAATAAATTATAGTATGTCAGTCAATTCTCAGGTAAAGCTAAAGGTATTCTCCGTTCCCAAGTGTAGATACTCCTATAGGGAAGAACGAGCAAGAAACTCCATGGTCACTTTTATTCAGTCAGTTTCACTTCCTATTTTTTATTAGCACTGTTAATTTCATCTATTATGATTATCAACCTATGTGTCGGAAGGGTCGAGCTTTTAATTTTATAAGGCCTAAGTAGGTACTGGCAAAATTTTTAAGGAGTGTGATCAATGGGAAAGAGTTCCAAACTACATACATAATAATTTTATAAAATATGATTAAGAATTGGTAGTATTTTTGTTATTGTCACATATTCTGCCTGGGAAAAGAATTGAGAAAATATATTGGAACCTAATTCATTATTTTGTAGTATTAAACGTAGGAAAAACTATTAAATAATAATGTCCTTCGATTAAAACGAATCACGTGACACAAACGTAACTGCATGTTACACCATAGGGGCATACTTCGTAAACATAAGATAACTAGCGAGAAAACCTCGATCAAACTAGAAATATAGCAATTAATACGTAATTTCTAACACAAATACTCAAAAGGTATTTACTGAAATTACTGCTTATCATAATAATTGACAACAATAACACAATCTATAGTCTATTTACACAATTTTGTTATAGAAACACTGCATGTCTTGTTGTTATTCTCAAACTATGTTTATGCTTCACTATTACCAAACTAACCTGGACTATTAAATCCGTCAGCCAGGTCCTGATATCAGGAGCCGCAGTCGACACCTCAGGCATCATCGTGGTAGAAAAGTCAATCATATCGGTCACATTCATTTTGAAAAAGTTTATATAAAGGCTGCACGCAAAATTTCCTTCTCACAAAAAAAAAACACTGTTCCGTTCCCGCCAAAAGTACGAAATGTCACATCGCGCGCCGATGAAAGAGTGTTAATAAAAACTGATAAAACTATCATTTAAACATCATGATAATATAAAATATTTTATAAAGATATTCGTCATGGACGGAGCTAGTTGTTCGAGTGTAGTGCGGCGATAACACGCGACCGCGCGCTTCGTGCTTCGAGCGTCGACTACTTACAACGTAAACTAACAAAGTACTTCTACAAGAACTACAGGAGCTAAAAGTAAGTACATATACACCTACGCATTTTCCCGACAAATAAAATTGAGTCATTGCCAGAATATATTATTTTTGGAACATTTTAAAACTGTCTTCTATGGATTAATTTGTCGTTGTTTTGATAAAACTTTTGAGCAAAATATTTTCGTTCATAACATTTTCGCACTTTGACGTCAGTCCGTCTACGGGTGGAGAGGAAATCGTCAAAATAGATTCATGACGGTCTCCTGTCTGGCAGGCTTGTTATATTTTATTAATTTGCATGACAGAACTAATTATAAAGACATAAATCTTACGCCAAATAATTGGTTGATGATGAGAGATAATAATACCTCTATAATAGATCTTGTTTGACATTATCTACGTTTATCAGCTACATAAATGGAAATCTGATAACACTACTTCATAATACGTGATTGCAATACTAATAGGCAAAGACTTTCAACTCAATACAAAAAGTCCTATTAAAAAAAACATAGAACTACCTGTAGATGGAAGCCTTCGGCTTTTCTTTGCGCTCTTCTCTTAACCTTTAAATCACAAAAACAATATAAGTGGTTTTATAAAAAGATTAATTAAATTATTATTTATTCAACAAGGCATCGCTAACCCAATACATTTTCTTGGGCAGCTTAAAAGAAGCTACTTCTTATATTCCAAACTATCTAAACCCGGTATTTCACCCTGTATTCGGGCCCTTGTTATTATCGTAAAGTGATGTTATATGGATAAATGGAATATCTTTTCAAAACGAAAAGTTTAATTCGAACCAGTAGATTAATGATCCGGATCAAAATTGCATGAACATACACTTGTTTTATCCCAAGAAGGTATATTGAGGACGACTCTAAACCTGCCATGTGCACCAAGCCCAATTTATCCAATCAAGTTACCTTTGAAAACTTAGCATCTATATTAATTTTCATATATATTTCCTAATAAGGTACTACCCTCGGCCTATAGCAGGAGAAGGAACGGGGTGGAAAGAGGATTTAGTCAGTAAGACTCTGAAACTCCCTTTCGCCTCGCCCTGGGCGAGGGAAGTAATTTGATGATTTTTCAACTCACAAAAAAAACTATACATTTACCATTGTGGTTTAATAGCAGCCGTACTGTAGAAATTAGCGTAAAGCTAGCAATCAATGCCTTTTATGGATATTTTAATAGGTAAACAATACGGTGACAATTATATGCGTATACAAAAACATTGATGTGTTAATTATCATTTATCAAGGTTGTTGTTTTTTTTTCTAAATATTGTTTAAACACCAGAGAACAAGACTTAATCAATAAAACTCCGGTTTTCAGTAGAGGAAATCATAAAACGATTTTTCTCGCTCTGGGCCGAGAGGGAGTTTCTGACTCTTCCTGACTAAAAACCATCCTGTTACTTTTCCTGCTCCAGGCCGAGGCCACGGTTATATTATTATGCTAGCACCCGATCACCCCCGGTGATATATAAGACCCCTTGCTGAGCTGTAAATATTAGGATCAAACTTGTTCATAAGTACGTCTACCATGATCTGTTTGAGTGACCATTTTTGTAACTTTGTTCGGGTGAGTCAGAAGCCACAAGACAAAGAACTTTGAATCACCATTACATAGGTACAATTTATTGAGCTCAAAAAAATACTAACAGGTAATATATTCAGGTCAAAAATCAAAATTTTTGTAACAGTATAAAGGTGCGGTAACCACTTTATAAGGAAAACCGAAAGAAAAGAATCAACTATGGGGTTCCCCTTGATGAGGAGATGCTCATCTGATCACATCATGATCTGTGTAAAGACGTTAAACTAGGGAAATATTTCTTTGATCCTCTCTACTTAGAAACTATTTTTTGCCGTGAGCGTTCGTATAAAATCTGTGACTCACACTCACACTCAACTTACACAGCAGAAATAAAGACTATGAGTAGTAACTGTGATAAAAAATAATAAATATATTGAAACTAACGACTTAGTTATTTAAAATAAACAAAAATAAGGACTATAAACCTCCTGTACAAACGACGGGTTTGCTATAATCCCTACGCTTTGCACCAAGTTTAGCGAAAACTATATTGTAATAAGTCTTAACTTCACACTGTTTTATAATATGTGTAATCCAATTACGTATACATATATTAACCAATAACCGAATGCACTTTACCGCTTCAAAACATTATTAACGATTTATCAGTATTATCAAGTGATAACTCCGGTAGATACTGATTAGGAACCTCTTACGACTGGTTGCATTAAAGTCTCACAAATCAAAGTATATTAAGGAATATTTTTAATTTATTGTTTAGTTAGACGTACGTAAATATATTATGGCAACCTCTTTTATTTAGATAAAGCCACAAACGGTAGCTAGCGATGATCAGGCGGTCAATAAGGCACCGCGGCCTCGAACTAGAGCGAGAGAAGAAACGGAGGTTTTTAGTCGGTAAGAGTCTGACAATCCCTCAACCTAAGCGAGAAAAGACATTTGATGATTTTCCCCTCAGAAAAAAACTATCGATAATGTCATAAAAAATAAGAAACATTTTCTCCTAAAGATTTCGATGTCATACTGCTTACTGATCTTATAATATCCACTGAGACGAGTCAGATCAATTAAGCTGGAAACCGTCGATGAGTCGTCCTATGATCCACTAATCAAAATACAACCTTTACGACCACCAAAATTAACATTGCGGTGAACGTTATTTCCCTTCAGTTAATAAATGAAGTGGTAGCACGAACAGCCAAATTAATGAGTAATTCTTGTAAGCCCTTCGCAAACGACCCTATTGAGACGCGACAGAACTAACTACAAATACAATTGATACTGTCTGAGTCAACAAGATAGTTCTAAAGACTTTGTGGGTAAAAGAAAGTAAATAAAAATCAATCCGCAAAATGTGTCTACGCTCATAAGTCAGCAACCCCCGTTGCTGAGACAAAAACCGATCAATCCTTTTTTAGTATCCCTTAAAGTAAGGACAAGGTTTGTATGAGAGACAAATTGACCAAATCGTAATCTGTAAAGAGCACGATTAAAGGTATCGTTGTATTAGAATAAAAAGTAAGAGAATATCCAGAAACAATAATTTGTATGTAGTTTCACCTATCCTAATAAAAAACAGAATGTATCAGTTTGAATTCAAATGTATCTGATCTAATGTCCATGCAGCATTAGAACCATTTTAGAACACTTGGCAAACAGTACCAGAATGCTAGTAAAAACTTTTCAATTTAAGAACGCTTCGATGGAAACCATTCCAGAATTTCATTTAGAGCCATATTCATACAGCTGTTGATTTAAAGAAGATCATTAAAGTGTATTTCAGGGCAAAATCTTTGTGGGAAATCACTGACCGCGAATTATATACAAAACTCCCGACGACATTCACAATGGCAATCATTATCTCTGAGACATGTAATTTTGGACAGTCGAGTGTACGCAGACCCTATTCGACGGTCATTCTAAGGGTAGGTATTCCCAAGGTCATTAGTTTCCATGGTAACTGTTTTGTACAGGCATATCCACATAGTCTACAGTTCAAGGTTTGTGTGATGAAGACAAACCATCGCGATACCGAGGGAATACTTTACTGTAGACGGTTTCGAATTCATTAACCTTTCGCATAGCATTTGTTTAAAAAGAATTCTTTTGCAACGATTAGTTAGGTTGTAAATAACATTTAAATAGTGTGATCCTATTAAATTAAATAAGTAATGGTTTTAATATTAAGAATCATTATAAACTCAATAAAAGGGTCATCGGGGATACAAAATTACAAAATCCACTTTCTTTTAGATCGGCACAAAGAACATCTGTGGTGCAATAATTCTGCACAGACATACTCGTAGTCTATCCAATAATAAACTTGCACCTACTCCCAAACACTAGATTAGTTTATTTGAAAACCTATGTTTGTATTATGTATAACAAGAAGTGTGGGAGAGCCATGCTGCACGAATGGGCTAGCTCAATCGAAGTACTGAAACACGGCCTTACAAAAAACCGACGTGAAACAACGTTGTATTTCTTTATATGGATCAGGTTCTCCAAATTTCCCAATCTCCAAACATTATATCCCAAAACTCCTTAATGCTACTCGTTTCAAATCATGCCATGAAAGCACCTAAGATAAATGATTTTCTTTTATCATATTACTTTTTCTTCATAAGTGTAGTTAAAAATATTAGAGAGAACATCTTCAAACTAATGAATAAACCTGAGATAGTAGATAGTTTTACTGCGTCCCTTGAAGTCGCTCTAGTTTTGCACGTACACAACCAAGGTAAAAGCGCTACCTTCGAAACGTAGATAACACCGCGCGCTGCAAATCTAAATTGTTTTCAAGTATAAACATCTTGACTCTGAGAACCAAATAATTTAATAACAGCAGTAGGTTTACAATGTTATTTAACATTTAAATAGCAGGTTTCAAAAATACCAAAAAAAGTCTGACTTCACGTCAAAACAGATGTATAAACCTACATCCTTCTTTATATTTTATGCACATTCAGCACATCTGATAAATCTGCTACTTCTATCTTTGATCAAAGAGGATATAATCGTCATTGCTCATGATCCTCATCTGATATCATTTGGTCAAAAAAAGAAAAGTTTTGCTGACCATTCAGAAAACACACTCTATTCAAAGATTCCCAAACTATACACCGTGCCACCAAAACCACGTATGAATCAATCACCGCCAAACACATTTTGGCAAAGCGATTGGTAAACACCAGTTACAACCACTTATTCTTTTGGTTACACCATGTATTCGTACTTCTGGCATTTGTAAATGCCTTACGACATCCGAGATACGCTTCACTAGTTATAAAATAGCCTCTGATTACAGAGTATAACCTGAACTTTTAGGCTTCTATATTTATCGGTCATTTCAAGGTCAAAATATCTTGGACGTTAGCCATAGCATGACTAAATTACTTAACTGTGGTGCGTCTGTTATCGCTAAACTGCCGCCTAGATATAAATCCAAGTACTAGTTAAACTGTATTATTTTAGTAACTGATTTATAGTAATACTTAGTCGGTAGAGGGCGCTTGTAGCGGTCGTTGCTTACGTCAAAGTGGTGCAAAATACTAAACGGAAATGGCTAAATTGTAAAAAAAGATTTGTGTGAGTGAAAGAAAAGATTTAGAATTTAGAAAGATTAAGAAAAATTACATGTCAAGACTTCTGATGCTTTACTAGCTCCTACCATGTTATGGGAAAGATAATATGGTAAGTATTGACAATTTTGGACCATTTTCTTAAGTACGGATTAAGAACAGATACCGCACAGACTAAACAGCATATATACTAAGATAGTAATGGCTATTTGTTCAAGTAACACGCTTTAAAACACAATAAATCGAATCTATATATAAATCGAACAATATAAGGTTTTGCCTTGTCTATAACTTCCCCGAAACTTGCCTTGATACATTCAGCTTTAATCTAATGAGCTTGTAAACACACAATATCGCCTTATAATTAGCCAAAAAGCGTATTGCGTTGGACAATGACCTATGGTGCGCCATAAATAGGTTCGACAGCACGAAAATTAAAATTAATCAAGTAATTAGTTTACTCTGTGAAAAAAAAAATCGCATGTGATGATTTTTCGTAATTTCTATGCAAAATTGAGATTACATAATTCCTTTTTAGTTTTTATATTCATGTGAAAATTATTAAGTATATATTGAATACAATTTTTGACTAGCATAGTAAAGTTTAATTATTATATTTCGTCTTTTTATGTTTCTTTTTATAGATTTACATGCTCAGGTTGCTCAGTACAGAGAACCATCTTCGCTTGAAAAAGACGCCTGTAAAGTACATTGGTTGTACAATATTATGACTGACTAATAAGGTAACTATGGGTTGAGGGTTAAGCGCAATGAGTCACTGTGGCCTGGATCTAGCAGGAGAAGGAACGGGTTTTAGTCAGTGAGAGTCTGACACTCTATCTCGCCTTCCCGTCGTAGAGCAGATCATTTGATGATTTTCCCCTGACAAAATAAAACATTTTTTGTTATGTCATATGTCGGCAAACGGGCAAACGGATTACCTGATGGTAAGCAATCATCGCCGCCCATGGACACCGGAGGAGTTACGAGTGCGTTACCGAACTTTAAGGGATTAGGGATTAGTAGATTTAGGGATTGAGGAGGGATTGGGGGAGGCGAAGGATTGGGCCTCCGGTAACCTCACTCACACGGCGAAACACAACGCTGTGGTTGTTTCACGTCGGTTTTCTGTGAGGCCGTGGTATCACTCCGATCGAGCCGACCCATTTTTGCCGAAGCATGGCTCTCCCACACTTATTGATGTGCAGTTTCAAAACACATAAAATGCAATGACATAATAAAATCAAATTGAGAAGTTTTGCACGTAAAGCGGTCATTTGTTACTGATGCACGGTCGGTGACTTGACGCGCGCCGTGTCCTACAAATCGACTAGGCGTCCTAGGCTTAAATATGTTAGTAAACAAGTTAGGTCCATGTACTTAAACGATTACGTTGTTTTACTATCAATGTATGTTTATTGTTTTGATTTAATTTGCTTGGATAATCCATGCTAATATTATAAATACAAGAGTCTAGTCTAGAACTCTGTCTGTCTGTCTTTTGTTTACGCCTAAACTGCTGAACCGATTTCTGTGAAATATGGTACATAGTTTGGAACTCGAGAAAGGACATCTCGGGATAGTTTTATACCAAAACTCATCATACAGTAAGTCAAGTCACTATTCCACGCGAACGGAGTCGCGGTCAAAAGCTATTAAATGTATTAGTAAGCGTTTTATTTTTCGTGAGAAAAATCACCAAATTACCTGTCAGACTCTTACTGACTTATACTTGGGCAACACTAACGGGAAATGCCATTCATTATCGCGATAAAGGACATTAATCGTAGGTGTAATTTGATCACTAAACAAATTAGTTAAGGTATATTTTTCATTGTTTAATATCATCAATTATCGCGATAATCATTGGCATTTCCCGTCAGCATTAAAACCACTACTTTTCTTCTCCTGCTTCGAGCCGGGATCGCGGGATTTCATTACGCTTGCACTCGTAACCCCGACTGATACTCATACCTTAAACATATTTTTTAACCAATTAATCATTATCAAAAATTTCAACAAAATTAGTTTTTTTTACTTTCTATTGTTTTATATATTTATTATTAATTAAATTACATTAAGCTTTAGATATAGACAAGCAGGGTCTTTGCTTTCCAAAAACACATATAAAATTGAAAGGTAAAAAATATCTGATATAGAACAGATCCTCGACTCGAGTCATCGAGTGCCTAGCGATATCTTCGCCCCTCTAGTACACCGAATAAATTCACGTTTGACAAAACATAGTGAACCGATTTTAAAAAAATACTTTATTTAAGCTTTAATTACATTTATAGAATACATACATTCGATTATAATCGATATAATAATATCAAATTGTAATCGATTAAGAATTAAATTATTTTTATCGAATAATATCAGTTGTATGATTCGATTACCGTATCTGTTACCAACTTTAATGCTAATGGATTTTTTATTTTATTTATAGTCACAATTTTCCTTTGTTTTATGATACCTATGTTATTATAAAAACAAAATGATAGATTAACAAGATATGGGTTTCTTGTTTGGCAGAGACCTTTTTATTGTGAGGGGAAAATCATCAAATGACTTCTCCCGTCCAGTGTCAGACTCTTACTGACTAAAAACCCCCCGATCCTTCTTCTAACTGGGCGGAGATCGCGGTGCCTCATTGTGCTTACCCCGCAACCCCGGCTTGAACATCAGCCCTATAGAGCCCCGTCTGTAGTGGTCTATTGGCTCTTTAAGGCGCGCGCGGAACGCTACGCGCCGTACGCTCGGGTCAGGTTCTGGTCGGGCGGCGAGCTGCCCTTTCTCGCCGCAAGACTGGGTGCTCTGAAGACTGACCTAAGATTAGATTATAGTTTTCGTAAAAGTTATTGTAGACCACAAATGCTTTTTCTTTTAATTCATTTATTGCCTTACTGTTACTGGCGAAGGAAACCCTCAAATGACTTCACCAGCCCTTAGGGGGCCAAAAGGTTTAAACGTGGGACAGCCAAGCTTCGGCACGAATGGGTAGGCTAGACCGGAGTGATACCACGGCCTCACAGAATACCAGCGTGAAACATCCAAAACGTTGTGTTTCGCCGTGTAGGTAAGGTTACCGGAGGCTTGATCTCTCCCCCTCTCTATCCCTTCCCAATCCTTATATCCTTATCCCCAAAAGCCCGCCAACGCACTTCTTCCTTGCTCCTCATTCTTACCTACATTTAACGCACAACCCCGGCCGCAAAAGTCTAGACTGCTAGGGATGCAGCTATTAAAGCATCATATCATATACTAGCTACTCTCTCTATCTATCAGTAAAAGAATTTTGGCAATCCGACCAGCGGTTCCACAGATTACCCCCTACATACAAATTTACAAATTTTACCTCTTTTTAATATCAGTATAGATAGATATTTAAAACATCAGAAAAACAAAACTAGGTAATAACACGCAACAAAGCAAGGATACTATAAATCCAGAAGTCCTTGACATAGGCATTTAAATTAATTACTTACATGGACAAAAAGCAATATTTATTTTTAGCACATACGTAGGTACTTAGGGCATACTAAAATAAAAATTAACTGCAGTTTTATTTTTATAAAACCCTTAAACTTCTTGTATAGCCTTGTTCTTGTTGTTTTTATTCGCCTCATTATCGGATCAAGGTTTCAAACTGTCTTTACTAATTATTGTTTTGCACGTTATTTTTATTACAACGACGAAAGTCTTACATTGTTTTTTTTTTGCACTAGTTTTAATTTAATTGGAATAGTACATTTTACGCCTGATAACACGATTAATGTCATAAGTCTAGCATTAGGATATCTTTAGATCAAATTTCGGATCGTCCTTAAACTTAATCCAACATTTTGGATCCGCCATAAAGTTAATCGTATAGTATATAATAGTATAGTAGTATATATAATAGTAGAAGTAATAGGAGAAGTCATTTGATGATTGTCCCCTGACAAAAAAAAGCATTAGTCAAATTAACTAATCTAAGTAACATGTTCAAGCTCTATAAATTCATCAAAACAGAATAAAACTTTAAATCTATCTATCAGTCTACCAGAGCTCGTACCAAAATCTAAACGCGGATCAAAGGGATACAAATAATGTAAAACAGTTGAAAGTCTACCTACATAAGTACATAGCATGGACGATGTCCTTAGGTACTAATTAAGATGAATATTCATCAAGCATTAATCGGCTAGCAAGAACAATGGTTGCATAATTTTAATTTCTTTAAAGGCTAGTATTAAACCTTTCCCAGCCCTTTTTACATCAAACAATAAGTTGCTTATCTGTTGTGACATAATTAAAGGTAAGTATAATTGTAAGTTTGAAATCGCCAACCCGCATTGAGCAAGCGTGGTGATTAATGCTCAAACCTTCTCCGTGTGAGAAAAGGCCTTTGCTCAGCAGTGGGCACTTATAGGCTGATGATGATGATAATTAGTTATTATAGGTACCTCGTTATCTATGTATGTGAACTATAGTTGAGTCTATTACGTTAAATATGTGTAGTTGTAAAATTACATAACAAAATAACAATTTCATTTTTACTAGCAGACCGATCCTTTACTGACTTTTTCTGGACTGGACAAAGGCCTCTTTTCACAAGGACAAAATTTGAGCGTTAATTACCACGCATGTTCAATGCGTATTAGCAATTAAGAAATTATAGGTCCAGGTTTTACCACGATGTTTTCCTTCACCGCATGTCAGTGGTGTCTAACTAAACTTTGAAAGTACATATAACTCGGAAAAAGTCACATTGGTTCTTGAGAGGTTTCGAAGTCTGAACCTCCAGGCCACCACGACGACTGGTGTTCCTTACAGTTTTCTAAACGCAATACGCTGCACCGGAGCGATGGTCTTCCTTTTAATCATAAACTTGAAAAAAGAATAGGAACGCTCCTTTTTTTATTGAGATCTAAAACTTACTTCGATAACATATAGCATCGTGCTATTACCGTAATCTTCACGTAGATAGGTACTCAATGGCGACACAAAAAGTTTTAAGTTTTTTTATACAAATTAACAACAAACAACTTCGTTTATAAGTATCTAAAATTTCAAAACTTTTTGCTACTTCGCAAAAATAGAATACGCAAGCAATCATCAGCCAAAACAATTTCAATTCACACACTGGTAATAAACTTTTGGATGAGCATTATAAAAACTATCATCTCTTCAAAGATACAAAAATAAACAAACCGAGTGGGAAAACATGAATGTCCGCTTACATTTTTTTGACTTTGTTACCAAAGATTTGATTTTTTGTCTCTAACCTCTCGCCTATCGGGAGGCCTTGTGTTTTATCGAAATGCCAAACTTTAATATTTAGAGGTATGAGAGAACAGGGTGGAAAGTTCCTCATCCTCCATTGAAAAGGGAGGATCCTCCGACCAGGCGAGGTCTTCGTGCCTGGCGGGCTACTGCCTCGGTTGTTGTCGGGATTTTGTATAGGTTCTAATTGCGATGAGAACTCTTATACCGCGATGTAGAATCTGTCACGCCATCTGTTGATTATTGTTATCCATCTATGTGATTTGTCACATTAGTGCGTGTGTGCGATAGATGTCGCTACAAATACCCTAAAAACAATATTCTTCTACGGAATATCTACTAAAAGGCTGCAACAGTAATCCCATTCCACTGTACTACTATTTCTCTTAATTAATTATGTACAAAACTCAATCACTGTCAAACAGACAAAACGCCCCGTCATTAAAGAAGAAATAAAGTAAAAAAGCTAAACACGTGATAGTTCTTTTTTATCATTTTCATCTGTTAGAATATTTTTAATGAATAGGTTTCTCTTTGACGGGTAAGTTGAACATATTTTTTTCTTACCTTTAAATAAATGACCTCGTAAAAATTATTAATCATCAATCTGTATAAACATTATAAAGAGGTAAAATTTGAAGTTTTTTGTAGGAGGAAATCTTTGAAACCGCTGGTTGTCTTTCCAAAATTTTGATTTCCTGAGTGCATTTACGTATTTTATTCGAACAATCGCTTTGAAAGCTGCTGGTTTTAAAATCCCGGTATGATTACTTAGCTAGTCTCTTATAAGATTATAACTTCAAAAACTACATTAATGTTGTCCGTTTTATGGTACACTAATATTTTACTGGTAGGACTTTAGTTTGATAGTGATTACACTACATCATACGGTGTATTTTCAAGCGAAGAGTAATATAACATGAGTAGAATAGCTTTCGGTGCTCATGGCACACGGTTAAAAGCCAGTCAAGGCTGTGGGCGCGGCAGACATCAAGCTGTAATAATCTTTGAATGAAACTAGCTTATGTTAGCTACTTTATTGGAGTTCCCGAAATGTAAACATGAATTTTGCTTTATTCCATAATATGAGTGCATAATAAGTGGGCAGCATATGAGTGACCAATCACCGGTAAGTGATCAGCACTGCCCATGGACAGCAGCCAGTAACACCAAAGGAGTGTCGGGGTTTCGGGGTTTAGGTATTTGTGGATTGGCAATGAATGGAGGGAGAGAATTAGTCCCTAGACTCTCTAGTAACCGCACTCACATGGCGAAACAAAACACAATCGTTGTTTTACGACAGTTTCAAGTGCGGCTGTGTCGCTTTGTCTTTTTCTGTTCGGCTATGTCTCTTTTTTAGTCCGTTCATTATTTGTTCATATTTAGAATGATTTCTTCGCCAATTTTTGTTTATTTGGGTAGTGCCCTAGGTTAAAAATAAATTAATTCGACTTTTCAATAGAATCAAATATTGAAAAATAACTATACTTTTATTCATCAATCTATCGATACATAAAATTTTATATATTTTTTTAGCAAATATTTAAGAAATAAGTAATCTTTTTGACGCAAAAATACTATGACGTCATAATTTGGAGTTTCACACAAAATTCATAGAAAAGTATCAAAGTCAAAGTCAAAATCATTTATTCCAACTAAACCATAAATAGGTACTTTTGAAACGTCAAAACAGAATAGTAATCTGTCAGTCTGTTCGTCAGTGAAGCTAGAAGCTATAGCTTTTGACATTTGAATAAAAGTATTGAATTTGATTAGTTGGAAACTACCGTATTCACTTTAAATCGGATCCTTGTAACAGCAGTTGCTTTGAAAAGTAACAAATAATGATCCTAGTTCTCGGCGATTTAGATTCTTTTATTGCAACAAAAGTTAATTAATTATCTAATTGTAGTTTGTTGGTTGAGGTTTTGCACTTGTGTCTGCCGAACCACAACATTATTAATTAATATCGGTAAGTCTCTCGTCAGCGAATAAAAAGCGCAATATTAGTTATTTTAATGTAAATCGACTTGCAAGTGTTCTGTGGACTTCCACATCTAGGTTATTGGATCTAGAAACTACATACATATTACATACACATAATAAGACCGGTTTTACCAGTTAGGTATAAAATAAATAAACCCCCTATTGCACAATATTGCAAACATTAATAATTCTTACTTATTGTACTCCATCTTAGAATAATATCTAAAGAAGTAAGGTTTAAAGCGTAATAAAACATACCGCCATTCAAATTCTCTGTGGTTTTCCTTAATACGGGAAACGATCCAATTTAAATAACAATGGACAGCCGAGTCAAACGCCAGTAACACATTTGTGCAAGCGGACAAAGTTTGCACTAGCTTCAATTCTCATCATCAGTGACAAGAAATAAATGAGATCAGCATCAAGTCAGATATTTGGCGAATAACGCCAATACTGGCGCTGAAGGGGCATTGCTTGAGCACTGACTAATAATGATTTCGCATCTTGTAGGCGTTTGAAAGGCTTCTACATCATATAGGGTTTGCTATTTCGTTTTTTCCATCTTCTCGAAAGACTTTCCAATCATGTTTACATCCGCACATCACCGTTTCATTATCAATATCATCATAACTGCTTACTGCTGAGCAAATGCTTCCTTCCCCACGAAGAGGTTTGAGCATTAACTACCAAGATTGCTTAAGGTCGATTGGCGATTTCAAACTTAAGTCCGAGTTTCCTCACGATGCTTTCCTTCATCGTACCTATGCATATCTTCACAATTCGGTGAAGACACCAAGTGTCGCTTTTGCTGTCCCCTTATCCCTATGTACGCTTAAATCTTTAAAACTACGCAACGGATTTTGATACGGCTTCTTTAACACATAAATTGAATGAATTGGAAGATTTATATGTATAATAACATCCATTAAATAATTAATAAATTTGGTACTTATCAGCATTGTACCCCTGCGAAGACGCGGCGGGTCGCTAATCGCTAGTATATCTTAAAGTACTCGGGAAAAGCCACATTGGTACTTGCAACAACATTGAGTACAATTCAAGTAACAATTCAAATCAAATGTTTGTAAAAAGCAGAGGATTAGTAAATGACATCATCCATTTTTATACTTGTATTGACCTTTTCGACCGCAGTCAAGCAATAAAAATATTCTCACGTAGACCATCTCAGTATGATATACAGAAATATGAATGAATGCAGATTATGTATATGTAGGTTGTTATGACTGTTTTTATCTAGGTAGGAAACTATTTATAATAGATGTAGTTCGGTTTCGGTCTGTAGATTTATTTTGATTCGATATTATTTAAAGAGATACAGGTTTTTAGGAATCAAATGTGCCGCTTTTGATTTGTGGCCTCCTATACCTACATTAACAGGTCACATACCACTTTTCCACATTTAGGGAACTGAATAAAGATCCCTAAGATCGGATAAGGATGATCCTCCGACCAGGCGGGGTGTTCAGCCTGGTTGACTACTGCCTAACAGTTGTACGTTGAGATTTTCAATGTGTTTATTCGCGCGCAAACTTCACTTGCGTGATGTAAAACTTGTAACGCCATCTGTTGAACATTGTAGTTACTAACTGCGTCGCCATACACATAAAAAACAACTTAGGCGTAATTCAATTACCTCGAACGAGTATTCCATTGCCTTATTTATTTGTCCAGTGTTGAATAGTTAAGTTGTTACACCCATTCAGCCTATGTTTATGATCTAATCATAATATATCGATGGTCCTAAATAAAATAATTCAAACAAATTTCTTTTTACCGGGTACTAGAAATGTCCAAATTCGAAACGTGCTTTGCCTCATCAGGCATCGCACTTTTGAGAGGTTTTACATCAAATCCTGCTTATAACTATTTATACAAGTATGCCAAGTATTTCAAATTAATTTTAAAATCTAAAGACCTTTACACGTAAAGGCATTGTGGTTACATATATTTTCAATTTCACAATAAAAAAAAACTTAGTATTACAAAACCATTCAAACTTTTATTACAAGGAACGCCATCTATAAGATTAGCTGCAATCTTCTTGCTCGTAACTCAACGTAGTCTTCGTAGCTGTTCGTAGCACGCGTGCTACGTAGTTCCAATTACTACCGCCCATTAATCATATCGCGTAGACAGTGGCGCCAATTAACTGTGATACTGATATAGCCCTTATGTCTTTGACCTAAGAATGTTTTTTGTTGATCAAATATTAAGTTAAACGTGGGATTTCTTGGTATAAGGTTTTCTTAAAAGATTATATGAATTTCATACGGAGATGTAAAATTACTACTTTCAGCATATCTTGCTAACCCCTCAAGGGATTAAAAATAATAAGTACCAATAACCATAAAACTAGGCCAAAACTTATGAAAATCTTAGAAAAAATTACTATTTTTTTTACAATTTTTTATAGAAAACTAGCACAAAACCAAACAATTACATTTTAATACAGCTGTGTGAGGTCTACGACACATTAATGAGTTTCTTGACGCAACCTTGCGATAAAAAACTTATCTTTAATAGTAGTCAAAATAACAGCAAGCAAGATACGGAACTTTAATAAAAATATGTTTAATAAATCTTCAAACTTTCAATGTATTTACGACTTTAACGTCCTAGTTAAAGTCGTAAATACATTGAAAGTTTGAAGTCGAAAATAACTGGATCCTCCTTTTCCGATATTATATCTTATCCAAAATCTCTGTTCCCTAGACTGCCATTGGGGAATAATCAAGTCAATCAATTTGTCAAGTCGAAGTCAAAATATTTTTTTCAAATAAACAATAGGACTTTTGAACGGCAAACAAAAAAAAATACCAATTCGTTTAACTTTATGTGTCTGTCGATCTGTCCTCTAGTGAAGCTCAGTATTTGCTCGTTCCAAAGTGTAGGTTCCTATGGATTAGAACAAGCAAGAAACTCTATGATTAGGTACTCCTTTTCAATCACTTTCAAAATGCATTTCTTTGTTTCATTCAGAAAATAGACTTTAATTTCTTTATGGTACGGTATAAAGACTGGTGTAAAACCACGTCATCTTTAGGTAAATTTAAAGAAACTATAATAAAATAAATTCTGATAGGCGCGAATTAATCAGTAGTTGCTTTAGATAAATAAATAAAACCTCTTTTGAAGTGGCAGAACCAATAAATACTTTGATAAAATAAAATATTCATTCACATAAATTCGTCACTATTGACGTAATAAACCAAATTGATACAAAACAGAATTAGTCATCGTTCTATTTTGGTACTATCGTCTGGTAGAGAAGATAAATGGTAGAAGTGGTGCATTATGGAGCGATGATAAGAAAATATATAGGTATTAAGTCGGTTGCTTGACGAGGGATGAATAAGAAACCGGTCCAGTGTTTAAAATTGATATGGCGTTTAAGTAAAATTAAAATAATGTTCGTATGGGAGAACCTTTTTTGACGAGGAAAAATCATCACATGCCTTAGATGGGGCGGGAAAGAATGACTAAGTAACTGACTAAAAACCACCCCATTCCTTATTCCTCCCAAAACATGTGTTTCGTCACATTTTTAGACATTCACCAAGAACATTGGAAAATAGTGTAAAGACGAAGGGGGTAGGCCGCTAGGTAGTATTTATTTCTATTCCTATCACGCTTCGTATATACTTTACAACTTCTTTCTGCTGTTTTCCATGCAAACTAATCCATAAAGAAGGAAACCCTTGACGTCTTTTTAAAAGACTAATATAAAAACTTAAATTCCTTCGCGGATGGTTATACATGAATTATTTTCTTAAAAAAAAATCTTTAACCCATATTAATATTTTCTCTTGTCTCGTAGGTGCATTTACCAGCAACAATCGATGGCTCATAATAATATATACAGAGTTTTCTGTGCACTGTACAAAAACTATCTAGTGTTTAGTACCTAATAACCTTGTTCTCTTTTTTCATCATCAACAATCGGTGCCAACCATTGCAGGTTTATTGGTCTTCTCTACAAAAGAGGTACTTCCAATAATATCCAAGCTTGGCAAGCTGGAGATCGCAGATCAATCTCTTACTGTCTTTCTTTACAACTAGGAATAAGATCAATTCTTTACAAAGAAACCCCAAAAGGCGGGACTAGATCAGGCCTTACCGATTATACCCTGCCCTTTTGCTGTCTGAAACTGATAACTGTCTGTTTTAGAGCAAGAAAAAACGTATCGACGGCAGAAGTATGTATAAACCATTTAATAAATCGATTGGGAAAATCATCAAATGACTTTTCTCTACCTTAGTAGAATGATCTTGCCCAAGACGTGTCAGACTCTTACTCACTGACTGACTTAAAGTCAAAAGTCATTTATTCCAATTAGACACTTACAGGCACTTTTGAACGTCAAACAAAATTTTGAGGATATTTCCTTCTCCTGTTCCGAGTTTATAAAGCATAATGGGTTTTGTTTGACGTCAACCTTGACCCAAGTACAACTAAAGCTGTCGTTTAGATGCCATCAAGTACGTGTTCAGATATTAATAAGCACGTTGTAAAGTAGTGTCAGTAAAATCAATTTAGGGGTCATTAACGATGACCGTTTATCACTATCTAAATTTATTTTTAAAACGAGACATTAACCGCTTCGCTTATCGTTTCAAACTTTATTGAATTAAAAAAGATATTACGAGTGTCGGAACAAATAAAACGCGAACGAAAAGAAGTCAAACAACCTAATCGCAAAGATTATTCTAAAAAAATTGTTTAATACCTGAATCCGCACAATGCCAAATATTGGGCAAATTGCTTGCGGATGGGATAAGTTGTCTTACTAGAAGAAGAATGGTTTGAAGATGAGCTCTGTATTATACAGGAGTATAACTTTAAGAGAGCTACATCGCATAGTTAGATATATTTTTTATTTTGTAATATGAGCTTTTCATTCTTAATAATAAAGAATGCGTTGTTCTCTTTTTGCTTATTTCTTTTTATTTAGTTTTTCTTTTTCTTGACCTTTTCTTAGCTGGGTTACGGTCAAAACTGTGTCTAAATCTGAACCAGACTAGACTGAATGTCAGTATTTTGTATGGAGCGATTTTCATCTGCTCTAGTCTCGCTAATGGTGATATGATAACACATTATTGGTTAGATACTTTCAAGCCATTTTATGGGTTTTATACAGCCTTCCATAAGTTTCCATAAGTCCATAAGCTGTTTAACACCAACAATCTTTCATAGGTCTCAGACAGGTTATCGGTTTCTTTGGAATTTTGGGCTACTCGTAACATTAATGCATACAAGTCCATTAGACGTTCGTACGACCGAATTTCCAGCTCAAGTATTAAGTGTGGTAATCTCTTTTTTTTTGTTAAAAGAAAATTATGGTCTAATTTATATTTCAACATACCGGTGTAGTGGAAACTGGTGAAGGATCTGGCGATGGCGGCACGGGAGCATGGCCCTGTGCCACGGAAACCGCAACCGTCCCCAGGAACACGGCCAGCGCCAGGCAGACGGATCGCTTCTTCAGCATTTTTACCCTGGAAATTATGATTTTCTTTTTCAGATATCTCTTTTAAAAAGTATGGTCTTTGCATTTTTAATAAACAGGTGGATGGCATGGCGGTAATAGTTTAACGCCGCCTATGGACAACTACATACTGATTTAGTTTTTAGGGTAATAGATGTGTTATCAGCCTTTTAAAAGGAGTGCAGTATTTACTTTATTTAAATTCAGAAAAACGTGACTTTTCTTGGGATGATCAACTGCCATAGGCTGTGCAATATACTGCTTATGTTTATAAGCCCTTGTAAGCATGAAACTAGTCGTGCACCCTCAAGCAGTCACGTGATTAAGCCGTTTGTGTTACTTTTGCTTATAAAGTAGGTGTCAATATTTTAGTAGGTACTTGTTATAAAAAAGATATTGGGTTTTAATTTATTTACCGGTTTAAACTATTTTATAAGAATTAATAGAGACAATATATTTCTCACAACTGGCTTATCTATTGACTATAATGTCCACCATGATTGCAAGGTTGGTCATATAATACACAACCTTGGGCCCAATTCATCCCAACATTTGAACCAAGGGCCATGGGAAACAATTAACAATAATTATATTTTTTATTGGCATAAAACTGGTTTTACAATAATATAATAAAACATAAAAATTGTTCAAGGTATTACTTGTGTCTTTTTCCCACTAATATGTACTTATTTTTCTCTGTTTTATTTAGAGGGGGAAATCATTAAATGACTTCATGTGACAAGAGTGTCAGACTGTTACTGCCTAAAAACCCAGGCTGAGGCCACGGGACATTATAGTATCTGATAGCTATATTTGCTATCCTGGCTGTAGCCGGTTGCTAAAATTCTCTATTACTAGCTACTAAAAATCTTATATTATACTAGCGACCCCCTCCGACTTCACACGGTCGCAATGGTGATACTAAATTTCTTAACAATTTATTGGATGTTACTATACATATAAACATTCCTCTTCAACCACTCCTATCTATTACCAAACCGCATCAAATCCCGTTGTGTAGTTTTAAAGATTGAAGCATACATGGGAACAAAACGACTAGTTTTATACTATGATTCGAAATTTATGATTAGAAATCATCAGTCCAGAATTGCGTACGCCCTTTTCTTTCATCATATATCAGTATAGAGTGAATAAACTTAGAAAGAACACATAACTCTGATGAATTTACATTGGAAGTGGATTGCATGGTAGTAAGAGCCACCCATGGACATCTACTACACCAGTTTACAGATGTGTTGTAGGCCTATAAAAGGGGTGCAGTATTTAATAGCCAGGTTTCAAACTCACATTTGCTTGAGAGACAATGGTTTATGTCCAAGTCACAACAACTGTGACTGACAAACAATGGAATGAATTTCATTTTTATTACACATACAGAAATACCTAGGTTGTCGATAAGGTAATTAGTCTAGGTACTTAACTATTTGCCATAGCCAAGGTGATAACATACTTGAAGCAAATTACTTACTGATTTATATACAGTATAATCTGTACTTACAGACTATACACGATAATTAATTATAGTACTGCACATAATCTATCAGCAATTATTTATATATTAAGCAATTTGTCCAGATGTCCTATGGTTCATAACTTTAATATTTTAGTGGCAGTATGGGTTAGTATATTTCATTATAGGTTTTACTCAATAAGGATTCGCACAAATAAATGTTTCAATGTTGTGAAGAAGACATTAACTTAATTAATATTAAAAACTAATGTCATAGTTTATGATCAAATTGATAATACTTTATCATGAATTGTAAAATAAATAAATATTACCTCCTCCCATTTCGCAAGTAGTTAAAAACAATTATAACTATGTTCATTCATTGATGGGACAAAGTACTTCATTATCCATTTATTTATTATTATAACACCATAGTTGACCCCTATGTAAAAATTTGGATGCTGTTTCCACAGCAGAACATAGAAAATTAAACCATTTGTATTTTTATTCTTGGATCAATAGGGCTTATTTTGCAGTGTACTATGATAATTTAACATTTAGGTTCAAATAAAAACAAGAATAAAGTTAATTTGCATTACTATATGAAGCTTATGAGGATAAGAATATCAAAATATATTAGAAACTGGTTTATGATTAGAAGTAACTTAGAAACTTTTTGGTTTATTCAAGGATGTAACTTTTTAATTTTTATTTTATTAAGTTTAAGAATTAATAGCATAAGAATGAATAACCAATCAAATGTTTAGTAGGGTCAAAGTTGATTTTATTAAATATAATTTTAAAACTAGAACCTAGAATACACTACAAGAGCTATGTATTTATGAGAAATATAACAAATATTATTTCACTCAACACTGGACTTACAACTCAAAATCATTTAATTAGCAATCACAATTAGACTAGACTCCACATTGAATTTTATTTTATTAATCAAAATAAAAAATAACTTACATATTATAAACATTCATAAACATATTGGAGACTAATTGGATTTCCACATTACAAGGTCACTACAACAATTATTGTTTAATTAAAAAGTAAACAGTTACAACTGTTATAAGTTACAGTTGGGTATATAATTCTGCTAATGTAGAACTATTAATTAAAAATAAATTATAATCAATTTTTTTTTTTAATGGGCTATTAAATACTCTTTAGATGCTATGGGCTATAGACTTGTACAGGTGTTTTTTTAAAGGTAAGGTGTAACAACTGTCTGCAATAGAACTTGGTGTGTAGATAAGAAAATAATATTGACTTAGTATAGAAAGAGGTAGCTATTGTTACAGTAAATTCTACATTTGTGAATGACAAAACTATGGAAACCTCTTCTACTCATTGATTGGCTATACAGAAATAATAAACATGGGTTGCTAAGTTGTATTGAGTACTACTTATTATTTTTGTATTAATTGATGAGAAAGATTCCTGACAGAAAATAAATGCAATGCCAATAACATTGGACAACAATTTTGTATATCTATACTTGTGAGAAAATAAAGATCAATTCAGATTATAATTATATCATCTTTATTTTCTAGTTAAGAATGTAAAGATTGACTTGCCTTTTTTATAACCATTAGATCAGTTTTCAAGGAAAAGTTACTGTCTCTGTACTACATCAACCTGTGTAAACTGAACATATACAAACTCTTTGCTGAGTACAATAAACTACTGGCTAGTTGAATAATTTTATTTATTGCAAATGGCATATTTATTTAGGGTTTTTGTATGATTGTATTCGACAATTATTGGTTGAAAACATATGTATGAAACACTAATTATATTAATATAATACTATAAAAGTTTTGTATCAAGACCTACAATTAATAATATACGGTTAAATTAACTGCAAATGCAAGGCTGATTCTTAACAACCATGCTATTATGTTCATAGAAAATATGGAATATCAATTTGCAATGTTGTAACACAGATAAAACATAAACATTAGTAACTAGCGTGACTTGTGCCCTAAAATGATATGATAACACTAATATTATACTCACTAAGCACTATTCGCGATGTCAATCACAAGCACAACCCTGAATTATTAAAATATTAAATTAAAATATGTTTGCTTCAAATTCTAATTAGGCGAGACAAATTGCTATCGGGCAACTAAATAACCTTATAATCAATTAGTTTTTATGTTCACATTAAATACAATTTTGTGTAACACGCTTTGAAACGTCACCCACCAAACGTTTGACCGTCGACGTGAATGTCAGACAAAAAGTACTTACATTTTTTCTCAAATAACTCGCAGTCGATACCGAAACAACAGAACCAAAATAACAATCAGTTAGCTATATTTCATAGCGGTTCTAATAAACATTCGCTAAATACACGTCTTCTAACATATATTGAACATTTTCCTCAAAATCGAAATAAACTAGACTAATCTGACGTTTCACTTCACTTCTATAGATCTTGACATTGACTTGACAGTTAAACCGGAGTCGCCGACAGCCAAATAGTCAGCTACTTTCACTCCGTTCAGAAAAATATTTTTATTTTATAGATCCTAGATCTTTATCTTAAAATGAATCGCAAAAAGTGTTGGTAAGCGCATAACTAAAAAACGCCTGGACCAATTTTACCAATTCTCTTTTTCGCATGTTTGTTATTTGTTGTCAGGAGAAGGTTCTTTTAGAAAAGTAGAAGGGAGAGCTGGGAAATGGGAACCCTTTCGTCGTTATTGAGATACTAGGAACCCCTTGCGAAGCAGGGGCGGATCACTAGTTATTTATAAAAAACAACGAAAGTTTTCGTTGTAACGTTGGTCTTGAATTATTCATGGAAGTCCAGAAGGTTTGTACGTAGAGATAATTAAAAAAAAACCTTGAAAAAGTGTAAAATCTACGTATACGCGGGTGGAGCCGCGGGCGACCGCTAATAACTTATAGGTTTTTATTTTGTGCGTGTAGTTTTAAGTTGAGTTTACTTTGTTAATCTTTCATATTTTTCATATTGAAAACTACATAAAAGGATCTCAGTCAGGAATAGGCTATACTATCTATTTATTTCTACTTCTTTAAACGTAACACAAGTAAATTATAATCTTGTGCATTCAAATGCACAAGATTATAAAAGAAAAACAAAAATCGAAAATTGCACTAGCTTACATAGACACTTTTTGTTACGTTTTATGCGACTGTATCTGGTGATTACTGAATCTGGTAATATTAAATACCTCTACAATGTTAATAACTCCTAACCTTTCATTATTTCAGAACGATGACATGAGAATCCTGAATAAACAAAACGCGGAAATGACATATTTGTCTCGGTGCCTGCTGTCACTGTCACTTAGTAATCAACAGATTTTCAGGTTATGTGAAGCAGAGGTCAATGTATTCATAACAATATCATACAAAACTAAACAAAATGCCGCTTGATTATCGAAGATTTAATGGACCTGAAGATAGTATACCATACAAACGTTTCACTAAGGACTTTGTGAAGAGCTATGATGAACTTTTCAAGGAGTTGCTTGATGATAAAGGAGTTCGTAAAGATGGGCGCGCTTTATCCGAAGCGCGTAGCATGTGTATGTTTTGTATGTACTGTTTAATAATAATGGCCTTTTATGTATGAGAAGTGTGTATTTTACTTGGTATTATGTTTCAGTTGCAAGAGCGGACATGGTTTCACAGGCAAAAGGGTCCGCTTATGTTGAACTCCGGAAAACAAAGGTCGTTTGTTCTGTATTCGATCCACGAGAAATCCCCCACCAGAATGAATTTAGGTAACTGATTTCTTACCCTGCATTAATAAATCCACAACAGCTAAAGTAAAGCAAGTAAAACTAGGTAGTTTTCATTGAAATTAATTAGTTGTAAAAAGTTTTAAAACAAGCCTTGGGTTACTGCGCTGCTGTTGCTTGCGCTGTTATTGCATAAGAGTTAAAAACGAAATAAATGTTAAGATTAAGAAGAAATTAAACCTTTAATATATAATTTTCAGTGAACTTGGTCAAATATTCTGTGAGGTGAAATTCGCGCCATTTTCGTGCCCGCGTAGGCGGCGGCCGCACGCTCCCGATGCTGAAGAGAAGGCTTTATCTGTGGCACTGAGAAAAGCTCTGGAGCCTTCTGTTTGCAGGCACATGTTTCCTAATTACCAGGTATCATCTTCAGCAATTATTATTGATTTAGCAAATACCCCCTTCTTTTCATTCAATAAAGGAATTAAACATACTTCCAACTACATACTAAATACCTACCTTAAACCCCAAGTGAACACACACAAGCAGTGCATCTTGTCTTACTACTGTGTCTTTAATTACCACAGACGAAAGATATTAACCTTCATTTATGGAGGTTAGATGAAAACTGAACTATCACATGGGAGATTGTCATAAATGTCCATAAGTATATCCAGTATATATTGTAAGAAATTTGCAGTAGAGTTGAAAAATCCTCCAAGAAGGGCACTAGCTGCAGCAAAGGGTGGTGCACAAAACTTACTTAGTTGCTACTGTAGTGCTACCTTAATTTCATGCATTTCGGTGGACACTTACAGAGACAGTTGTCTTTCCATCTACCCCACATACTTCCATTGCCATAAAAAAAAAATGAATTTACTCTTTTACACAGCATATGAAAGTTTTGCCTCTATTTATCATAATAATATCCCACAATATAAAATTGGATTAGCTCAGAAACTAACTACCTAATAGAACCTAATCAAGATTTAACTTTGCTTATTCCCAGGTTGATGTCTTCATATATATTCTGGAAAATGATGGAGCATGCCTATCAGCTGCAATAAATGCCGCGGGTCTTGCATTAGCTGATGCTGCTGTCCCAATGTATGACATAATAACATCCTGCACTGTTGCTGTAATTGGAGACAAAATGTTTGTTGACCCTACAGAAGCTGAAGAGTACTTAGCAACAACAAATCCGGATACACCGATAAATCACGGACTACTTACACTGTCAACATTATCGGAATTAAAACAAATATCAGACTTCATTCAGATAGGGTCTATGGATGTTCTTAGTGTTACAAATGCAATGGAAGTTCTAGAGAAAGAGTGTGAAAGACTTGTACCGCTGGTCCAGAAAGTGCTAGTAGGCAATGTACTTAAGTGCTTTGACCAGAGAAAGAGATTGGAGGAAGAAGCCAATGAAAGGGAAAAGGCTTTAAACTCCAAGATGGAAGAATGGAAAAAATTATTAAATGCTGGATGAGATTTATTTTTGTGTTTTATTTGCTTACTTTGTTGTTCCTTATACCATTTTTATTGTTGTACTGTTACAAGCAAAAGGCTGAAAGCTGAAATGATTCAGTTCATATGGCTTCATATAATTGCATGAATAATATATACCTGTGACATCTAAATCACTATTTTTAGAGATATTTCTCACTTAGATCTATCTATAAATCCATGCCACTCTTTGTTGTAATGTTACAAGTCAACAATACCTCTACTGATTTGGCTAATTTTGGCCTTGAATAAAATTATTCATGGAAACCCAGAAAAGGTATGTATGAAGAGGAAAAAAATTTTTGAAGTTAAATGTGGGCAACTGCTGGTATTTTATAAGTTTTGTCTGCAATTGGTTCAGTTATGATTAGGAAAACAACCTCAATGTATCATTGTATGGGCTAGTATCCAGTAAAACCATGGAGGAATTAAGTCAACTACTATTCTACAGTCTATGAGTAAAAGGAAACGTTCAGTAGAGCAAGAGTCACTTTACTTAGAAATTATAATAGTCAATCATCACTTCATACAAGACCAGGCGGCAATTCATCACACAACTTATCAGCAAAAGTATAAAGTTTTTGAAAAAACTAAAGAAGTTTAATCTTCAGGTTTCTCTGGTGGAGGACCGCAAGGTTGTAGCATTCTTTCCATGAGGTTGAACTTGACTCTAGCCTTTGATTCGTTTTCGACAATGGCGAAGTAGCTTAGCAGGTCAGGGTGCCCCATGTAACTGCAGCACGAATCTCGGTGTTGATTAGTTAACCACTCATATTTTGTGGTGTCTGCGTGCCCAGTACCGATGTATTTGCTCTGAAGATGCTCAAGTTGGCTGTGAATGTTGTATCGTTCACCCATTTTCTGCAAATAAATACATTTTAGGTTAAGTTCGTATTTATACTGTTTCAAGTTTTTGCTAGAGGCAAAGTTAATAATAGTGCGTTATAGATTATGATCATTTTTGGACTTACTTATCTATATATTTTCACACAATCCAAAACAAACAAAATCTAATGCAACCACTTCGAGATGAGATACTTTGACGTAGGATATGAATGCCAAACGTCAAAAAAGTAAATAAATCACAGACAATCAAGCAAACCACGCAACAGCGTCTACCTACCCTTCCTCGTCTATGTTTCAATATTCGAAATAAATTATTGCAAGCTAGAACAACAACTAACATCGCTTATATTAGTCCTAATTTGAGAATAACCCTAATTAAACACCTTTAAAATAATAATATTTCTTGATTTGTGATACTTTTGTTTGTTTTTGTGTTAGTGTGTGTTAAAAGTAAATTCTAAGCTCTTTGGTAAAGGCAGGCGCCATTTTCAAATTTGTTTGATCGATCACTCTGAGATTGTGATTGTATTTTTTATATTGAATATGTATTAATACTATAGAAAGATATCATCATGAATAATGCAAAATTAGCTGACCTTAAAGAGAACGAAGAAAAAATACGAAATCAAGCAAAGAAATTATTGCGACAAAAAACATCCGAAATGATAAAGAAGCAAACTCATTTATTTATGCATGAAAAGAATCTTACGAAGATAGTGAGTAAATGATTTACGAATAAGAGTTTTCAATTTAACGATATGCCCAGATGTGTAACTTATGAAACCTAAAATTAAAATCAAAATCTTTATTTTTCCAGCCCGTCCCCAAGAACCCGTCTCAAGTAATTTACGCGTATTATCATAACAATCAATTGACAAAAATCGAAAATTTGGAACTACTTTACAATCTTACCCATTTACATTTGCAATGGAATAAAATAACCAAAATGGAAGGTTTAGAATGCTTACATTGCTTAAAGAAATTGTATTTGGGTAACAATAAAATCAGCGTTGTAGAAAATTTGGAAGGTCTTAAATATTTGGAAGAATTACACATTGAAAAGCAGAATTTGGATGGCCCTGATGCCTTATGCTTTGACCCCAGGACAATTATTTATATTGGTGTAAGTAAAACTAAATATTAAAAAGGTTTATTAATAATGCACTCTATTGAATTGTAGTGTACAGAAAAGGACCCGATGTAGAGTGTCCTTTTCTACTATCGTAGATCGTAGTTAGAGCTCTATGTTGCAGAGGAGCGCTAGGTTGTGGAGGAACGCCAAGGAGGGTGGACCAGGGGCTCGAGGCGTGGAAGTGAATCTCATAGAAAATTTAGAAGCACCTTTGAATTGCTTTCCTAAAGCGCTCACGAGGGTTAATCTGTCTCTGGGTTTTGATGTTTTCTAAGTCAAAGCATCTCGTTTTAAAATGTAGCTTTGACATGAAACTGTGTCAACTAAGCCTATTCATAAACACACATACAGCGATAGCGACAGTAATAGAACACCGCAGTCTTGGTGGTAGTTTTAATAATGTTTAACTTTTTCTAGGCCTCACTACGTATACTAAACGTATCGGAGAACAAATTGACCGATATGACTTGGGCTAAGCCTCTGAGACGATTGGAGGTGCTTATAGCAAGAAAAAATAACCTGGATAATTACCAGGTAAGATTTCTATTTAGGAATTGTTATTTTTATATCCTAGGGCGGCAAACGAGTATGGTATACGGATTACTTCACGGTAAGCAATCGGCGATGCCCGATAAAGTTAGGTCTCCACGTCGAAAAACAACGCTGTGTAGAAAACTGGCATGAAATAATCACGCCAGATTTCTGCGAGGCCTTTCGCATAAACTTGCTAAAGGCCGGCAACGAGTTTGTAGTAACTCCTTTGGTACAAACTAACCTAAGCTAATTAGTGTCCTTCGATGGTGTCGATTGCTTACCATCAGGCAATCAATCTATCCGTCTACCGACCTATCCTATATAAAAGAAATGTTGTTTTTTTTAAATTGAATTTTATCCGTATTTTGTCTCAGGAAGTTGCTGATGACCTCTGCACGCTGCTAAGCCTCGTGGAAATTAACTTTTTGGGAAACCCTATGACCAAGAAACATCGGTATAAGGAGACTATTATTGCAAGATGTTCTCAACTACGTAAGCTCTTGATTTTACCAAAGTAACTAAAATTATCTCCTCCAGCCTATTTGCATATTCAAATATGCTTATTTAACAGGTATTCTCGATACTGTGGCCATTCAAAGCACGTCGAAAACTTTCATGCGGAACTTCGACAAGGTCGTTCGTTTGCGTCAATTGCACGAAAATAACAAAATCGAAGCAACTCGCAGAGGAGCTGATGAGTTCTTCGATCTCAACATGATGCCGGGACCAAGAGCACAGAGTGCCCTCTCTATTTCTGAGTTTTCTAATCAGAAACCAAAGAGTGAGTTTGTTGACATTGCCATTATTTCTGTAATTAAAATAGAACTTACCTAATACTAACATATTTTTTTATGGTCACAGTTACAGCATTTGATTCAACGTACACCTTCATGCCACGTGCGTTCTGGCGGATGCGGAAAACACCTTCCCCTCATGAAGGTATAGCCCCGCCGATGGAACCCCCACCGCCACCAAAACAGCCTCTAAGCGACAATGATATTTTCCCTATCAAGGGAATATTGAAAAAACCTATGCCGATGAAATATATTTAATTAATTATATTTATATTTGTAACTAGTATTTTATTCCTAATAAATCACTTGTGCCATAATTAATGTTTTGACTCAATGTAGTGTTATTGAACTTAGTGTATATTTTGCTTGCTCACATAATGTATTTAATTAGGTAGGTATATATTGTATTATTTCAGCGATTCATTTAGGCAAAGCTAATGAGAATAAAAGTTGTCCTGTAGTTACATTTGTGATAATAATTATAGAGCGGTAATTATAATAGCCACTGCTAGGTCACAGTTCTTATGAATATAAAGAACTAAAGGACTTTATGTATGTATATACATTGGAATTCTTCATGAATCCACCCCATAGCTCACAGGTATCCGTTTGATTTTGATCTGTTAAAACATAGATAAATCGCGGGAAATCAACCTTTTGGGAATGAGGATGGCGGAGGGTTAGCAATTTAGTGGGTGTTATCGTGAGTTATGAACAAATGTTTTCTGATATATTTTACAAAAACCGAATTGAAATTCTTAATTTCTCTAATACTGAACGCATTTTTATTATAACTTTCGTGAGACATTCTAAATTATTTATTATGTTTTCGGCTTACTCACGTAATAATTTGACGAGATACTCGACTAGTTTCACGCGACAGTCGCCGAGTCGCGTGTGAATATGGGCCTCTAGCATGGCTTGAAACTAGTCGAGTATCTCGTCAAATTATTACGTGAGTAAGCCGAAAACATAATAAATAATTTACTGAACGCATTTTTATTCTGTCAATAACGTCATTATGTCAAAGGCGAACTAAAAAATAGGTTATGTTTACAAAAATATTCAAATGATACTTACAAAAGTACATAATAAATAAAAATAGTGAAACAAAAATAGGAACAATGAATAACTTAATAAGCGCAGCACACGAAGTTCTTAATGAAGAATCTTCTGGTTGTTTATTTTTTCATAAAAGTATGAATTAACTTATCAACTAGCCACTGAGGTTAATAACTTATATTTTTTTTATTTTAGCTTTGTATTTAGGCAGTAGTATAGCAGAAACAGATAATTTAGAGCCAATGCAATTTCTTAGAGATTTTGTATCTAAAAATATTCCTGTAATCATTCGAAATAGTTGTTCCCATTGGCCTGCTGTTTCAAAATGGAATGCTGCCTATTTCAGGTAAATCATAGAATGTATAAATTGTCTGTTAAAATATTATATAATATCTAGTTAAATTTATTAATAAGGAAACTCTTTCGAAACAATTCGTAATTATTTTTAATTACTGGTCTGTCTATCTATTTGCCTGTTGTTCAGATGACAAAGTAAGATTTCTTGATTGTGCATGTCCAGCCGAAGATACAACCTGACAGATTTTTAGATTTCAACGTTAGTTCGGGTTCGGGAAGTCAGTTATAACTGACTCCACAACCTTGAATTTATGAAAGTTTGTCTTTCATAAATTCAAGATAAAATTTGTTTTTTTTTAGTTTATACTATGACTTCATACACATTGGCTGGCCATGCAATGTATCGGTTCAATCCCTGCACGGAGTCACTCTTTATGTAATTCATAAATTGGTGTTCTGGCTATCACATATGTATATGAAATTGTATTTTTGTAATTACAAAAGAGAGAGTCCTAGGGTAAGGAAAAAATGTCTATTTTTTAAACATTAGAAAAAGAAGTAAATCAGGCAGATCACTTGGAAGCTAACAACCAACCATGCCCATGTTTTTAACCATTAACAATCTTGTTAATAATACCTAATCTTAATAACAAAATGTTCACAGAGAAACAATACCAAATAAGAATGTGGTAGTGGCTGTAACTCCCAATGGCTTGGCTGATGGTATCACAAAGAATGAGAAAGGTGAAGAGTTCTTTGTCACACCTTATGAAACCACCATGACTATGTCACAGTTTTTAAATGGATTGGAGGAGAAAAGGTTTATCTTGTTTATTGTTATAATTATAAATTCCAATATGGCGCTTTTATGAGTCCTATGGTCTCAGCATATAATAATAGCCTTATAATATAAGTCTGTAGTAAAGTTTTTCTGAGTAAATTCACGTAAGTTATTATTTTTAATATAAAAATATTAAAAATCAAATCAAATTACGATTTGATGATGTGTATCACTAGAAAAAAAAACGGGTATTCAGCACCAAGTATGATGCTCCAAAATATTTATGGAACAAACAACAATGAGATTAATATAGACATAAAAAAAAACACCACCCTTTTAATTTAGTATAATAATTATACTAATTCTGTATATAATTAAGTATAGTATTTATTTTTGTACCTGCATGCCAAATAACTTTGCAGACTACTTTAATAAAAAAAAGTGAAATATTTTTTTTAACTTGAATACCAATTTCTCTTCTGAAACTTAGAAACCTAGGCCATATATATAATGTTTAGACTGTTCAAAAAATATTGTTATCAAAATATTTACAGAGAAAATTACATCCAGTACATTCAGAAACAGAATTCCAACTTGACAACTGACTTCCCTGAGCTTCTAGATGATGTATTGAAGGAGATACCATTTGCTAGTGAAGCATTTGACAAGTCCCCTGATGCTGTCAACTTTTGGATGGGGGACGAAAGAGCTGTCACTTCCAGTAAGCAAAAACTGCATTAATTTTTTTTGGGTTTTCGTTACTTTTTCTGCCGCCAGTCGGCGCTTCGTATGCCTCAGATCCAAACAGCTGTTAGATAACACAGTTTTTTTTAAACATAAAAACGTTGCCACACTAGTTTATTCTCCTGTGTGGTGGGTGCGTTTACAAACACACCATTGCCATACCCGGAACAATAATTTGAGGATCACACAAAGAGTTGCTCCATACGGGAATCGTACCTGCGACACGGTACGGGGCAAGCGGTCAAGATTTTTATCTTACTTTTATTTTTTCGTAAAATTTTATGGGTGGCCTATGTCCAGCAGTGGACAAACTCAGGCTGATGATGATGTGTTTTTACAGTTTGTTGGATGCTACAGAGCTCCCATGTTATGGGAAAACAATTCAGAAAACACTCATTAAAATATTTAAATTGGTTATTCAGGCGAACTGTTTGAGAAAGGCTTTTATAGTTTTAACGAGCGTGACTTCGCCGTTCTCTAATCCATTTCCTACAATACGGCCGCCGTATCTTGGCGAGTCTGAAGTTAGCCGTTTGTCTGGGCAATGGATCTTTTAGGAACAAAATTGTGTACTGCGCAGCTTATCAACTAACTTCAGAGTTCAGACTCGCCAAGATACGTTGGCGGTATTGTACTTGCGATTATGGGACCTGGTTTCACTTGAAACTAGTCAAGCTTTTCTTGATCAGTTAACACTGTCGTTGAGTGACCTGCTTCTGTTTAAAACGTAGCAAAGCTTTCTTCCCAAACGAGTCAATTTTTTTATATGATTTACAAATCGTTGTTTAAAGTCAGTTTAGAGGATTAATTAAATTGTTTTGTTCTTATTTCAGTGCACAAAGATCCATATGAAAACATTTATTGCGTGATAGACGGATATAAAGACTTCATTCTAATACCTCCTACAGACCTACCGTACGTGCCTTATAAACGCTACCCACAGGCGGAGTTCAGGTATTGTATAAGTACATGCATTATGTACATACATATTTTTTGGTCCCCTATGTACTACTGTAACATCAAAGGAGTTTCGAGTGCTAAAAGGGAGTTTTGGATTTGAGGATTGGGTCTCCGGTAACCTCAGTCACACGGCGAAACACAACGCAAGTTTTGTATCTCGCCGGTTTTCAGACCATTCGTGTTGAAACCTGGCTCTCCCACATTTTAATATGTTATTAACTGTTCCATATTTTATGAAGTCATCTGTTTTATCCAAGTTTATTCTTCATAATAATGAATCCGACTTCAAAAATAAAGGAGGTGCTATGTTGAAATGATTGTTTTTTTTGCTAATGTTCGTCAATTATTCCTTGTTATTTAGGTGCTTAACTTATAAATATTTTCTGGGACAGATATGTTATATTATTTATGTCCTCTAACTAGGTGGACTGAAGACATCCGTTAAGTAGCTGGTAGTGGTTGTATGAGAAGAGCTGAACATCGAGCTCAGTGGCGTGCAATTAAGGATACCCATAGGTCTCATATCCAGCAACGAATGAACAGGCTGATGATGGTGATAATGATATATGTATGTTATTTTTTTTTTAGGTACACAGATAATAAATGGGAGATCGTACCAGCCAGTGCGGTAGATATGGAAAATGAGGTCAATACGGTCAATGAGGAGCCACCGGGGTTGCCTTGGATTAGTATAGGTGAGATTTAGCTGTACTACTTGTGTTGTTAGACAAAATTAGATAAAAACTAGCGGACCACCCCTGCTTCGCACGGGTAGGTTCGTCTAACCCGGACTACCCCGTCAGTCATTTGTTTTTTTCGCAAACGGCCACAGCACCGAAAGTACCTATTGTTAATTCCAGATATTTTCCTTTACTTTTCTAAAATTTTCTTTCATAAGAACCTTCATATAGAAATAACGAACATAACAAAAAAAAAAAAATTCAGCAAAATTGGTCCAGTCGTTATTGAGTTATGCGCTTACCAACACATTTCGCGATTCATTTTTATATTAGGTATAGAAGATAGATAGCGACCCTCCCAGGCACGGGTTCAATGCTGAACCTAAATTTTTCCACTTTTAATGCATGTTATTATACATATATATCTTCCTTTTCAATCATTCTATCTAATCCAAGCTAATATTATATATGCGAAAGTAACTCTGTCTGTCTGTCAGTCTGTCTTTTCTTCACGCCTAAACTACTGAACCGATTTCTGTGAAATTTGGTACAAACATAGTTTGGAACTCGACTCCGTTCGCGTGGAATGGTGACTTCTTGTAAATTTTTCGTATAAAAAGCTATCCTTTGCCCTTTCTTGAATTCCAAACTGTGTCTGTACCAAATTTCACAGAAATCGGTTAAGGCGTGAAGAAAAGACAGACAGACAGAGTTATTTTCGCATTTATAATGTTAGTTTGGTTTAAATATCCGAAACCCTTCCTTCCTTAAAAGGTCGGCAGCGCACTAGTAACTCCTTTGGTGTTGCGGGTGTCTATGGGCGGCACCGATTGCTTACCACCAGGTAAACCGATCTCGTTTGCCGTCCTATCACATTAAAAAAAAGATATAAAAATATCCATGAAATAGTAGAAAAAATATTATCAGCATTCCGTGGAAAGCTGGGACGGGTCGCTAATACACTATAAACTCCATTTTTCATCAAACATACTTAAAAGATCACTAATAACCAAAAATAACTCTTATTTACAGATCCATTAGCTCCAAATTACCTTCAATACCCTGAATTTAAGAGAGCTCACGTGTATTCGGTACGGCTGAAGAAGGGCGACTGTCTTTACTTACCAAGTCTATGGTTCCACCACGTTAGGCAGAGCCATGGTTGTATAGCCGTCAATTACTGGTACGATATGGAGTTTGACATCAAATATTGCTATTTTAAAATGCTTGAAAAACTCTGTGGTAGTTATTGAAAAGAAAATGGCTACGGGAAAATGGTGGTGCTGTTTTCTACACGGTAAAAAAGCATTCGTGACGCCTCTGACGTTGAAGATAGTCCTTGGATGTCTTGACACATAATGGACCATGGCTCCAGCTCTGAGCAGAAGAAGGATGAAAGTGATTTTTAGTCAGTAAGAGTCGGATACTCTCGCTCCATTCAGCTCGGGAGAAGACATTGGTAATAAACCTTCTCCAAAAATTAGTATTTTTTTAACTTAGTAAAGTACAGGGTGTCTGGTGGGAGATTTATGTTTTTAACTATGTGTATTGGGAAATGTAATAAACGATGCGGCGGGAGTGTGATCTCGTTGGAATTAGTGATCGTCCGGATTTCTTAGTCACCATGCCGCAGTGGTCGAGTGAGCGTCGCGCGTTCGCCTTTGAGGATTTTTTTAAGAGTAACGAATCGTACTTGCTCGTCGACGATTCAAGGACTCAAGAAAACATTGAACTGGTTCAAGAGAGATTACGTGAAAATCCACGAGTATCGATACGGATAAGGGCAGCCTCACTGGGACTTCCAAGAGCTATTGTCCATGAAAATTATAAAAAAGGATCTTAAGTTCCGTCCATGTAAAATCCAAATCGTTCAAGAACTGAAATAAGTAAATATATTGTTTCACGCAAACGTTTTTGTTACTGGTCTCCGAGAACACTTAATCCTCGATTGAAACACAAAAAACCAATGCATTTTCCCATGGTAATTGTTTGGGGCGCCGTTTTCCCGAATGGGATAATGGACAATTTTTATCGACAATGCTCGAGGCGAAGCAACAAGTGTCAACAGTGAGAATACGGTAGTTTCCAACTATACTCGGAATCTCTCGTAGAGAGTTATTATATTCCTTGCTCGGAATTTTAATTGTATTCCAGATTTGACAATTTCAGTGTTGCAACGTTATGACAAGTACTAAATAGTGACATCGCGAAATTAATCGATATGGAAATGGAATATTTCCGAATCCATTCCCCCCTTGCAAACTAAGTTTATCAGGAAATTAAATATTTCTGGGCCGATAATTCAGTTTTGACAATTATAAAAGAAAGTCTTTCAATTATAGAAGAAAAACAAATAATTGTGAGTGAAATTAATAAAAAAATGTGATCATAAAGGAACATGACAAATAAAAGAGACTGTATTATGGTAATTATTTATTTTATAAATTGTCGCCGTCATCGCTATCGCTATCGCTGTTACTATATTATGAATTGTGTTTTTGTTTATTCATTTTTTTCCTTTTGTTTGACAACATGGGATACGCATTTAGACCATTCGGAAGCCGTAATTTTTTGAATGCCTTCCTGAAACTGATTCACTGATTGTTTATCGATTTTTGTCTTCATCACTACACTGTATAATGTGGTATCATTATTTCACAAAATGACAGTAGCTAATGTCAAATCTGGAATCGAATAAAAATTCTGACTATAGTCAAATTCAATACTTTTATCGAAATGTCAAAAATGAATTCTATGAAAGTATGAAAAACTGAGTTATGACGTCATGGTATTTTTGAGTTAAATAGCGTACTTATTTCTTAAAAATTAGCTTAAATAATATATCAAAAAATTTGTGTATCAATCGATCGATGAATAAAAGTATAGTCATTATTCAATATTTTATTGTATTGAAACGTCGAATTAATTTATTTTTGACCTAGAAACTACCCAATTATATTGTAACTATAAAAATCCTAAAAGTTTCTTAAAAAAAACTGTCTCCTAAAAGGTATTCCTGTATCATAGAAGAATGTGTAAGGCTAATCAGTACCTATAGAAACTGTAGACAAGTAACGTTAACTTTAACTGTAGATATATAGAGTGTGATGTAACTTAGTTTATCACATTTCATCGTGAGAACAATATTATTTTTTATATTTGAGACACCATAGAAAAAACATGGTGGAATTACAGATGTCAGAAAACTTGATAAGTCGCCATTTTGATTTAAAAGTCATTGTTACCTGTTAATTGTTTTAATCGTTTACTATTAATGTTGTTTATTCGTTTTAATATAAATATGTTAATAAAACTATTTTAAAATGGTTTGTATATTATTTTATGAGACAGAGCAAATATACAACGATTACAACGATTATAACCGAAGCTGGCTTTAAGTTTCTTGACAAATTCTTTGTTCCCGTCAAGCGAATGTTCTGGAAAGAAAGAAAAATAAAATAAAATTTATAATAACTAAATAAAAATAAAAAGAAGTCGGAGCTGGTAGCCTCGACAATGGTAATGATAGAAATGCCTTACTAAGACGATAACTTGAAAAAAATCTCGGCTAATCTTCGCTGTGAGGGAAATGTTCGTAGGAATGTTAACTTTATCTATACGACCTTCAAGAAAAAACATATTCTTTTTGAAAAGACTTGTTGGTGTCTTTAATTAGTGCTGATTGCTTGCCAAACGGTGACGAATATGCGTTAGGCGCCTTCTCCATAAAACCTAGAGTAGACCATCCTGCAGCTAGGCAAAATGACTAGCAATGGCCTAAGATCGACCATAGTGGCATGCTATAGGAACGACCAATGTCTGAATGAGCTCGCTTACCTAAATGGCTATTTCAATTAACAGCCTAGCCTGTATAATAAATGATGTCCAAGTATAATATTTATATTTTTAGCTGTCTAACCTAACCTATATTTTTGGGAACAACTGTTTACATAACATTGCCTTCACCCGCGACTAACAGCCTGACTAAGAAATTAAGCCATTACCAATAATAACTAATCATTTAGGCTGTTACTTGAAAGGCGTGTTACGCGATTTGGCCGCGAAATTACCATGATATCTGGGTAGATGTTGGACCGCGGCGTGATGTAGTCCAGCTTGCAGATGCCACGCGGTGAGCAAATGCCCACCACATTCTGTGTGACGCACACACTGCCCGCGTTCCATGCACGCAACCACGTACTGTTGCAAGAGTAGTCCTCACACAGACGAACCGTTACATTCGCTGCGAAATATATATTTTTTTATATGATAGGACGGCAACCGATCCTATGGATTACATATTGGAAACAATCGGCGCCGCCTATGGACACCCGCAACACCAAAGGAGTTACAAGTGCATTGTATAGTGATTCCACAGTCAAACTTTGAATACAGTTTTGTGGGACTATTTATATTTCATAAGTCCATTTTTTTTATACTTATTAAACACAGGTGTACTAAATATTTTTGAGTGTTAGACAGCCATGTTTCAGCCAGAATGGGCCGGGTCGGCTGTAGTGATACCACGGCCTTATCTACAGATGTGAAGCAACACTAAACTTGCTATGTATGTCGCAGTGTTGCCAGATACGCAATCTTCCTCCCCATCCCCAGTCATTACCTAAAAGGTCGGCAATACAATTGTAACCCATTGCCTACCATCAGGTAATCCGTCTGCTCGTTTGCTATAAAAAGTCCTTTTCAAACAGAATTAATTTTTGGCGTTTCTCATCTATGAAGGTTCGAAACTTGGCAAGTATCAATGTGACTTTTCCGAACTACCTACTACCAAACTTTTTTAGGTAGGTACCAATAACATACGATAAATGAGAGCATCGTCATCGTGAGGAAACCTAGACTTATACCTAGTTTGAAATCGGCAATCCGCCTTGAGCAAGCGTGGTAATTATTGCTCAAAACATCTACGTGTGAGAAGAGGTCTTTCTCAGCAGTGGGTATTTAAATGCTGATGATGACGATGAGAAAGATCAAACTAAATGACTTTTGTCCTAAACTCTGCATAGCTACTCACGTCCTCTATAATCTATATCAGGCCAGTTTTCTGGTAGTGGCTTGTTGGTGGCCAGCCTCTCCCGCGCCGCCTCTTCCGCGCTCACGCACTGCGCCCTTCCTCCAGCGACCGGGATCTCGCAGCAAATACCGCACATGTTCATGTCGCCCAACAGAGAACCCTGGATGAACAGGGTTTAAGATGATCAGACAGGGTCGCACAATAAGTAATGTACCATAGCCCCGCCCCGAAGATTGGGGAATGACCGGGAAGTTTTCAGTGTGTGATGTGACCCCCTCGCTTCGGCTAGGTCGGGAGAAGAAATTTAATGGTTTTCACCCCTCAAAAAGACATAAGCATACGCCTTCTATTCTGTACATCACCCGTATGAACTTCCATTCGGTTAAGCAGAGAATGTGTCGCTAAATGATAAGATTTCGTCATAGTTTTTTTGTTTTTTGTTTATTTGCCCTTTTCAGCTCTAAAGCCCAAAAGGTAGAAACGGGAATAATTAATCTAAGACCTCGCTCTCTGACTAACCGTACGGTTATACCGGACGTCTGTCATCAGGCTCTATTTAAATGTAAAATACAATCAAATAAATATTTGAGACAGAGAGAGAAAGAAAGGGAGAGGGCTATCTCCCCTCTCCCTTTCTTTCTCTCTCTGTCTGTTTGTGTGTGTGTATGTGAGAGAGAAAGAGAGTTCTATGAGCTTTTTGGATTGTATTTATTTTTATAGGTTTGTTAAATTTTCATTAAGCCTTTGACTGCCGACAGAAAACTGTTGAAAGCAAATTCTCCGCTAACAGAGGTCACGAGTGACTCCAATGGCGTTTAACGTGTTAAAAAAATGTTTACCATTTTTTGTGAAGGGAAAATCATCAAATGACCTCTCCCGTCCAGGGTGAGGTGAAACCTCATATCATAAACCTCTGAAGAAAATATGCTGAGTTCTATAGAAATAAAATCTCAAAAAGGTACCCGTAAGAGCCCATCGGGCCGTGGTTTCTTGACACACTGGCACTCCTTGAGACCCAGTGTGGCACATTCAGTCGCATGACAGGACCCGTCGGGTAAGCATCTCCCGTTCAGACCACACCGACACCTTGGTGACATGACATCACATGTACACTCCCTGTCTTGATCTCTGCAATCCTGGAATTTTAAATTGAAATTAAGGTACCTAATTGGTAGCAATTTGTAAAAAAAAATTCTGCCTTAGCTGGTCTATTTTCAGCCTAGAACAGGAGAAGTAACGGGGTGGTTTGTAGTCAGTAAGAGTCTGACACGTCTCGCCTCTAAGTTATTAGATGATGTCCGTCTCTTTTGCTGAGTCAGACACGAGTCTGTTAGGTTAACGGACAGTGGACACAGTTCTCGGCAATGGTAAAACCGGGTCATTCAGATCGTCACATTCTTTGGATAGAAGTCTAAATAGAATGATAGGCATGCCTTTTACAAATATTTTTGTACTGACTAGTTACGTTTGTATGTGTAAGTAGGTGTTATATCTACCTAAACATATATATAAAATCATCTACAGTTGGACTAAGTAAGCCAAAACTATAGGTTTATTAGAAAACTTATGTGAAAATATGTAGACCCTCAGTCGACGCATACATACGACACAGTCATTTGTGCTAAGTTTAGGAAGAAGTGTATGGCGAGGCACAAATGCAGTGTTATAGTCGATACTGCCACCATCACATGACTTAGTAAAGTAGGTATTTTTCAACGGAAAAAGCTGGTATCACTAAAATCCTGACTCAATTACGAAGGTATAATAAAAAGTATCGAGAATAAAAAGTAAGTGTATAATAATTACGTAAAATAAACATTCAGCAAGAAGGCCAAGGTCGGTTTTAGATTTCTATTATACCTACTGAAGTGGGTCGCTTCGTCAATGGCTTAGTTTTAACAGTGTTGACTCAAGATGGCCGCTTGTTTTACTCAATTTTGGCGGGAGATGCTTACAATAACCTGATCGGCACGTTCCACGGTATTAAGGGATGAAGAAAATTTAGAACTGGGTTGAAACTATGTAGATACCTAAATAATGCTGGCCAAAATATTCTTGTATACCTAGAGGCTAGAGATTTTAAGATTCAATTCTTAATTGGTGTTTCAGATATTTCAGTGAAAGAGCTTTGTTGAGACAACTTTAATAAGTACCTACTTAAATTGTTTTGTCGACTTACAGGGACCTAATAATAGAACTAAATGAATACTAAACACCCGCCTTCGCACAACTAAAAATGAGCTAACAAAGCATATAATATTTAGATACGAATTGGACTACAATTTAAACAATTTTATTTCCAACAAACAATTGTGTAGTTCCTGGGTCAAAAGTAAATTAATTCGGCGTTTCAATACTTACAATAAAATATTGAAAAATAACTATAGGTACTTTTATTCATCGATCGATCGATGACGCAAAAATAGTATGACGTCTTAACTCAGTTTTTCATACAAATTTCATAGAAAAGTACCGTTTTGACATTTGGATAAAAGTATTGAATTTGACTATTTGGAAACTATCGTATCGTATCGTGAGACTTAGTTCTTATAGGACAATTCAACCTAGATAAGAAAGGTATTAAAGCCATAAGAAGAAGAAGAGTTGATGTGAAAAGTTTGTAAATAAACATTTGTATTAGAATTAATTGCAAAGTACAAATCAACTAATGAACTTAATTCCATTTGCGTGGCCTCACTCTTGCCACCCTTTTCACTCTCTTTAACAACGATTCTCTCCCTACAAAAGGATACAAGAAACGAATTTACTTTATGAAGTCAGCGAACTTAGTTCAAATTGCGCTCACCAGAGGCGCTGCTCATGTTTCCATATAAAAGGCTCACGTTAACGATACGAATACTTTTTCGCAAGTTTTTCGTGCTAGGGGTACTGACCTAATACCCTTTAAGACGAGGTCAACCGTAATAATATGCCGGGCCCCAGCCCGGACCAGGAGAGGGAACGGGGTGATTTTGAAGAGTAAGAGTCTCCATCTCACACTATTCAGAGGAAAAAGAACTGTTGAGGTTTGTTTATAAACCTTACCTTAGTATTTTCCTATAATTAAATATTTAGATATCTACTACCTAATTAATAGATACCAATTAAGTATTTTAAGTTAGTAAATCAATCCGAATCATGACATCACGCGCATCCCTAAAATTTGAGTAAAACTTAAAATGTAATTAACTAAGGCACGGTACAACATTAATTTGTTTGTGTTAATAAGGCCCCGTAATATGTTTAGTCATTTTAAAAATAACTTCGTCCATTGGTAATGTGTTATTTAAAGCTGGAGACACAGTACTAGCAGACCATTGATATGTATAAAATGGAGTGTCCAAGATGAACGGAAAGGAGTTTTTGGTAATGGGGTAAATGTTCTGGATATTTAAGCTATATTTATAAAGTATTTTAGTGATTTTGTAATGAGCTAACCTGCTTAATACTTTAAGAATAATAAAAATACTTATCATTTCTACTTCACAATCCCTTTCGATCCATAAAGAGCAGGAAAAGTCTTTTTACGATTTTCCGCCCACAAGGAAAACAAAAAAAAAACATGCCTACCTACTAATACTTTCGTCTTTTTATGGGAAGGCTAGCTTTTAACGTAGTTTAAGTACCTAGGTATATTAAAATAAATAATTAAAAACTACAATCAATGAATACCCGATAGGTACATGTAACTGATGTAAATGGCTATTGTCAGGATTAAAAAGTTTTGAGGTTAAGTTATCTCTTTTTATTGCCACTACTGCCGAGCCTATTCAAAAAAGAAAGACTGGTCTCTCCAATGGTACATACTCCGTGCCACTAGGACACTTCATTATAATGGCTCGGGCCTAATGATTTCCCCGCTTAACACTATCGGCGTCTGTCAGGTGATACCATGAATAATTGAGTGTATCGTGGCTATTCTCTCAACCTGATTCCCTATTAAAAAGCCAGTTCAATGTTTATTTATTTTAACAGTGGTTACAAGAGATTATTCCATGTTCTAAGAACCAGTTTTATTTTTAGTAAGTATAGGTACTTGTCCGCCTTTAATGCTTAGCAAAAATACTTTACTAAAGTTTTAAATACGTAGCAATTTACTTTAATCTAAAAACTAAAATACAACTAATTAAAATAAAATACAACAAAACTATGAATGAACGAATTTATTACAAAAAAAAAAAATACAATGAAAAAATAAAAAGTCTATAAAAATACACATTTACAAAACTCGAATTTAAAAACATTACGTGTGTCCTACGCTAATAAAAAAAAACAAAAAAAAAGAAACATAATGTGCCATGAACCACAGATACAAAATAATAAAATAAAAAAATGGCTGTCAAAAGAAACTTTTTACGTAGATAACGACGACGATTGATATTAGGATTATACTACTAACAATACCACTTTTCACGAGGTCTGCTAGCTGACATTTGGCGGTGCAGCACAGTCCCTGAGACGGGTGGCACATGGCTGACGGAGCTACTGAACAACCATCTTTGTGTAGAGTACTAGAAAATGAAAAAAGTCAGGTTACCTCTAATTTATTTTGCAAAGTTAGTATCTTAAGAGTTTAAAAAAATACGTCGTCGAGTAACATCGCTTTTTACTAAGTTTTACTAAGAAAAAGCTAAAGCCGGTCTTTGGGTATTAGGCTTTTGGGAATTGAGGGATTGGAGGAGCGAAGAAGGATTGGGCCTCTGGTAACCTTAATCACACGGCCAAACACAACGCTGTGTTTTTGCGCTGGTATGGCTCCAGTCTAGCTGACCTATTCGTGCCGAAGCAAGGCCTCTCACACTTAAAACACAGTGAGGATAAATAACTTTAAGTAACTAAGAGAACTGGTAAAAATAAAGTCCAGTTAAGTACCCTTCTTCGAAGACTAGTGCACCACCCCCACGCGGGGTGCAGCAGGGGTCTTTGTGGATGCACCGAGACGGCAGGCCACAGTCACAGGATTCACCTTCTTCAACTATACCTAAAAAAAAACAATATAAATCATAGTTATTTCTATAATGGCAGGGTTACTCCCGAGTGTGCGCAAAGAGCCAATACACCACCACAGATGGGGTTCAACATAGCCAATGCTAGGGGTAGCGGGTCAAGTGCAATAAGATACCGCGGCCTTGGCCTAGAGCAGAAGAGGAACGGTGGGTTTTTAGTCAGTAAGAGTCTGAGACTCTCTCTCGCCATAGGTATCCTGGACGTGAGAAGTCATTTCATGATTTTCACGCCACAAAAAAAGAAGGGTTACTGCGTCATATAAGATCGTCTATATGAACAAATCACGATCATGCGCCATTATTGTCATCAGCCCAAGTGAGTTCTGTGTCATCTAACCCGGTCACCGGGGCGTGTGGAATCGGCGAGAGGTGTCGCGCGGTGTTCCACAGAGAGCGGTCCTGGGACCTCTCCTGTGGAACATCGCGTACGATTGGGTGCTACGCACCGACCTCCCGAACGGCGTCAGCATTGTTTGTTATGCTGACGACACGCTGGTGCTGGCGAATGGGAGGTCACATCAGGCGGCAGCCGACATGATGTCGCAAGCGGTCGCGACAGTCGTTGCAAGGATCCGGCAGTTGGGACTCGAAGTGGCGCTTCACAAGTCCGAGGCCATGTGTTTTTATGGCCGTCGGAACGCGCCACCTCCAGATGGGTCCCAAATAACGGCAGGATTAGTTACCATGGGCGTCGAGTCGGCGATGAGGTACCTGGGTCTCGTCTTCGACAGCCGATAGAACTTCACGGAGCATTTTCGTCGTTTGGCTCCTAAGTTGGAACGGTCTGGGGCCGCGCTCAAGCGGCTCCTTCCCAACCTCGGGGGGCCAAACGCCTCCGGCCAGCCGGGCGGCTGAGCACCGCCGTATCCTCAGGGAAGTGATCGGCGGCGGCGAGCTCTCGCGCCCGGCCGTAGTCGAGGCGAGGCACCATGGTGCGGAGTGAGAGGAACTGGGACGCCGTCTCCTCATTTTGTGAAGCAGTCATGCTCGCAAAGAGAGGGGCGGCCCGCGTGAGGGGGCAATCCTCCTCCTCACGCCCCAGCCGCCGCAACTGGCGACACTACGGGCGTCGGGGATCGAGGGACGATCTCCGGCCACCGTAAGCACGGGTCTGCGGTCGGCGAGTAACGGCAGTTCGCCGCCCGACCAGAACCAGGCCCGAGCGTACGGCGCGTAGCGTTCCGCGCGCGCCTCAAAGAGCCAATAGACCACTACAGACGGGGCCCTAAAGGGCTGATGTTAAGCCGGGGTTGCGGGGTAAGCGCAATGAGGCACCGCGACCTCGGCCCAGAGCAGGAGAAGGAACAGGGGGTTTTTAGTCAGTAAGAGTCTGACACTCCCTCCCGCCCAGCCCTGGGCGGGAGACGTCATTTGTTGATTTACGCCTCACAAAAAAAATCCCATGTGAGTTCTGAACCAGCCATATTAGTACTCAAACATTGTGAGAAAATGTATCACAAATAATAATGCAATCTGAATGTATAATGTCTATTTTTATGATTATCGGCGCTGCCTATAGCAACCCGTAACAATTGAGAAATTACGAGCCCGTAGCTGGCTTTTTGGCATTAGGGTTTCGGAAATTTAATTCATTCCACGACACAGAAGAAAATACAAGAGTGGGGCCACGTCAAAAAATATGGGTTTTGGGGAGGTGCTGAATGATTTTAAGTTTGAAAACACTAGTGATTAATGCTCCGAAGAGAAGAGATCTTTGCCCAGCAGTAGGCACTTATAGGCTAGTAACGATGACGTAGATACATCGTACTGACTTAATGTAGTATCAAAACTTGATACGTTTCTTCCTTTATTTATTAATGTTTAATCAAAAGCATATCCTTACCATTCCCACAATAAGGTCGATCCTCTTCCATCAAACAATAGCTCATGCTGCTTAAAGTGGCAGCTATCAATCTTTTGCTGCACAACGAGAACTCAAAGTTTAGGCCATTGACTACAGTCGAAGACTGGGAACCCATGAGGTACCCTCGACACTCAGGGTTGGGGAAGTTATCGTCGTGGTGAGCGCCAAAACTGTGACCTGGGAGAGAAAATATTAAATAATAAATTATTTTTCAACACACTTCCTCATAAAGTGGCTCTTATCCCACGGGAATTAGGCACATAATGAACTGTATTTTTTTCATTACTATTATTCACAGGTGAGTAATAGAATTCTTTTTTTAAATTATTGGTTGAGTTACACTTACACTTGCGCTAAAATGCTGTCCGCGAAAAGCTCAAAAAAAGAAACATTATTTTGTAGTCTATGGCCGATGCGCGCGCACAGGAAAATCGATTAATTTTTCCCGCCATTACGAAACATTTTTCTCAACTCATCTCGTTTTCTCTTTTGAAGTTAATTATTTAAAAAATATTTTATTCAGAAGTGTGCTTAAAAACGTATATGGTACAAGTGTGTATTGATGATTACCGTCCCCGGCTCCTTAAGACCCTCGCCTTACGGCTCGAGCCGTATATTCCTATTCTTTTGTATCTTATACATATACCAACATTTGACTGGTTAATATCCCTTCGATATTTAAATTTTAGTGCTAATCTAGATAGATCTAGTTCTCAATTACATTCAATACTTAAATCGAGGACGTATAGTTATTATGTAAGTATTGACTATCAACTACTAACCACTACGCGTAGACACTACATTATAATAAACAATAAAGATAAAACAATTATTGAATGACAATTCACACTTACCCATCTCATGGGCGAGTGTGAGAGCAGCGATTCTCTCGGGAACTCGGTTCACTGCTTCAGTAGTGGCGTGCGCTATAGCCAGCGTGTTGAAGGAGCGCCCGTATGCGCGCCGGTCGCAGAGACCACCAGCTGCACCCCCCATACCACCACCGAGAGACGTAAAACTGTTAAACAAGTGATCCTTTAATAGATAATCAACTTTACTGATTTGCAATAAAGCAGTTTATCTATTGAAAAATATCAGATTACAGGAGGTTGGGATTCTGGAAAATTTACGGCTATTTAATTGAAGGGCTAGACCTATCTAGGTATCTAAAGGTGTGTTTCAAGTCACATCACATTATTAGCCTATCTGTACACTGCTGAGCAAAGATCTCTCCTCATACGGAGAAGGTTATTCATTAATCACCACGCATGTTCAAGGCGAATTGGCGATTTCAAACATATAATTAGAAATTATAATTGCAGGTTTCCTTCACCGTATGTCAGTTGTGTCTAAATAATCATAGAAAGTACATACGACTCGGAAAACGTCTCGACCTCCGGGCCACCACAACATTTTTCAAGTATTCCAAGTTAATTGGAGTTGATACAGTTGTCTTTTTTTCATCAAAAATTCACTTTTTTCTGTGTCATCACATCCCGAAATAGCTGAAGCAACGACTTAACACAAAGTGAATACTTTGTAATGATTTCTATTATATTACCTGAGGCCAAGAGTCCTATTATGGAAAGCGTGTCCAGAAAACGCCACACCAAGACAGACTTCAGAAAGTCGACGTAGTCTGGCAAACCGCATGAGATAGGCTCGGCCATCTATCGCTTTGTCCATAAGCAGATCTCCAAACACTCGCGTATTCGTATCATTCGAAGTGAGCACTAATATGTACTTTACTGAAAAACCTAGACAGAAAAATACTTGTATGACATTTAATAGGAAAGGGCTTTTTTTGTCCGGGGAAAATCATCAAATGACTTCTCCCACCCAGGGTAAGGCGAGAGAGAGTGTCAGACTCTTACTGACTAAAAACACCCCCGTTCCTTCTCCTGCTCTGGGCCGAGGTCACGGTGCATCATTGCGCTTACCCCGCAGCCCCGGCAATAGGAAAGGGCTGGCCTTTCCTATTGCCGGGGCTGCGGGGTATAAATAGTACGGGCTGCGGAGTATAAAGGGCTGGATCTAGGCTGTCTTATTAAAACCAGTCAAGCCAGTAAACCAGTCTAAGTGCAAGATTTTTTTTAAATATTTTTATTATTCGACATTCGACTTTGGCATTCTTAGCGCTTTACCTATATTATCAGGAATCCCATCTTCATTGAAATCAGCATTCCTGAATATGATGTCAGCTTGAGCGACCGCATGCATCATTCTACGCACTACATGGTTCAGGCTTGAGTTGGCATCCTTCTCGAAGAATTCCTTATCAGCCAGGAGAAGGAGGTCACAGATCCTCGCCCGTGCTACTCCTGGCACTTTCTTTCGCTCTTCTATTCGGTAGGGGAAGAACGGAACGCGTTCTAGAATGTTATACTGAAGGGGAAGATATCAGTTAATAAATCCAGAAGTTACATTCTTGAAGTACATAGGGGTACCTAAATAAAGTTAGTAGAGCTGAAAATAGTATAGAAAGCTATCTACGTAGAAACGTTTATAATTAATTACGTAGGTTTATTAGAAGTATTGGAGAGGGTTTAAGAGAATATTAAGTCCCGGTTTCCTACAAAAATGAAGGTGTGTATTTAAAACTGCTGTGTACCTTGTGAGTACGGTCTAAAAGTAGCATTTAAAATGGATATCCTATCGTAAAACTGTCGTCCGTCATAGTTGAATAAAGTGCAAAAATTTAAGTTTTAAGTATCTACCAACTTTGCCGATAGTTTTAGATAGACTGACCAGCCAATCTCTATAATAAGCCATCATCTTCACCTGATCACCTGTGCATGATCGCGACGGAACCGCGGCGCCGCCATATTGTCGTTTTCGAATGCGCCGAAATATTTGTTCGGGTCATCATGGCCATAAGGATCCGCGTGGAGAGTACGGTTACCTGTTAAACATTGAAAGTTTCTATCATTATGCTATTTTTTTTAAGAGAAAAACAAAAGCTTCTCTTTGCGCATGTCCCGTGTAGTATTTAACAACACTTCCGGACCTTTCAGAATAAGATATTCGCCCGAAAAAAAAACTCCAAAACTTCATCAAATTTGATCCACTCAAGATCTTTTGACTAACCAGTTCCCTGAGACTTTCTTATAAAAATAAATCCTTCAACTCTCACTTAACAATTCGCACAAAAAACGCGGTTACTAGGCGTGTCAATTTCATGGAATTTTCCGATATCAGATATTCATAAAGGGAATTGGTGAAATAAGCTCCGACAACTTTGTGTTGTCCAATAACTTTGAAGGATTTCGTTAAATTATTTCGCTCTCAGTACAAGGTCAGAGGAAAGTGATTGAATTAAAAGATTATTTGGCTTTTAAATTCATTATTTATTTGCAAGAGTATTTGTTTTTGATTCTTGTATTACATTGATAGAATCTTTATGACTGCACAAGTAATTGTTGTAATAGAGATTTTAATACAGACGCAATCGATGTAGAATTGTGCATAAATTCTCAACTATAATTTATTTTATATTAATTTAATCAAATATCTTTGTTTAAAAATTAGGGGCCAAGAAAGTCAGAGAAAGACTTTACATGCAAAATTTTATCAAAATCGTTGGTGCCGTTTCCGAGATGCTGTGACTATAGGTACTTATATATTTGTATATATGCAAGACTTATTCAATTAAAGGTGTTATATGTGTATATAAGCGTCCACAATAAACTTAAAACAAAATCTTTTATTTCACCTAAATGCAAAACTCCATAGAACTGATGGTCTTCTCCGATGTACCCTTCAGCGGAGCCAGAAGACGGGTCTTCTACTGGAAACCCGTATGCCATGGTGATATCGGTCAACGGCAGGGTCTTTAAAGGCTTATGAATATTCTCATCGTGATCATCAGGGTCTAGGAAGAGAGCTGAATGACGAGATGCTAAGGTTGATGACCCTGGAAATTAATACACGAAAGCAAATTGATTTATTCGCGAAAGTGATGGTACAATTTAGATCTTAATTTTATAAACAGTAGGTCACTGTTGTCGTAATAACATTATGTGTTTATAATCCTATAATTGTCATTCTTTACTTATCGATAGTATACATAAGTGTGGGAGAGCCATGTTTCGGCACGAACAGGCCGGCTCTACCGGAGTCCTCAGAAACCTCTCAGAGACCCGGCGTGAAGCAACACTCACGTTGTGTTTCGGCGTATGAGCGAGGTAACCGGAGGCTCAATCCCATCCCTTCCTAATCCCCAAAAGGCCGGAAAAGCTCTCGTCACTGCTTTGGTGTTGCGGGTGACCATGAGCGGCGCCGATTGCTTACCATCAGGTAATCCGTCTGCTCGTTTGCCGGCCTATCCCATAAAAAGCCACATTCTGGCTAGGTGACGTTTACGGAGCCATATCTCCCAACTTTCATGTGGTATCTCTCTGTTACTTTAGGACAATGTCTCCCGGCATTTCCCTTGTTCCCTCTGCCCATTCGTCTAAGAGTGTAACGCTAAGCGATCCCTTAATGCCTAGCATGAGTCTTGTTTCGATCGATAGAGTTAAGGAATAATGTCCCTTTATGAAAGTGGCTTAAATAACATCTACTTACCAATAGGCTGCAACTTCAAACATAAAAGATGCACTTCCCGTCCGAACTTGGCTTCAAGAAGTTGGTACCCATATGCACTGCAGATGACATGATGCTGTGTAGTAATAATGCCCATGCCAGCCACACTGACTAGGAGACACGTGCAAACCACTAGCACGGAGGCCATGTCACGAATTTTGAATTTCACCAGGCCATATCCAAAAATATTCTTTAGTTTTTTACTACTCTTTGCCAAATGCGTAGGTATACTATTCTAATGGCATGTTAATGTCAAACTTTTTGACAGATTATTAGTTTCAGGGAGTTTTTTCTTGAAGATATCCTGTGATAAAAGAGGTTTTATTTAAGACTTCGATATTATGTGTGTGTCGCAGTTAGTATAAAATTTTACGCATAAATTACCTCGATAAGATTTTTGTGTTTGAATACATTTCATAATTACTAGCCGTTATGAATAACGTATGGCGCCGAATATAATCCGGCCATTTTATATTTAGTTCACATCAATTAGCCAGTAACAAGCCTATTACCATAAAATAATTTACTATCAATTAGACTATGTTTCTAGATATATTAATTTCCTTATCATCTAATTAATATTTATTTGACGTATTCCTGTCATAACCGCTAATGACCCAATAAGCATGCGCCATCTTTAATTCAATCGCTCTTTCACGGCGACGCGACCGATTCGTACATATATTTTAAATAATAAATTGTATTCTCTTTAAATAAACGTGTCCTTACTACATGAATGTGTGTGAAAACTGTTTGTCTGTTAATTGAGTTCAGTTTTAACATTACTTTTATAATTATATTATTTTTAGATTTACCTATGCCTAGTATTCCCTGCTGAGAATTTTTTTTAGTCGTGGTGGCCCGTTGGTTAAGCAGCCCGCTTCTCATGGATGAGGGTGTGGGTTCGAAACCTGGCAAGTACCAATGTGACTTTTTCCGAGTTATATGTACTTTCTATGATTATTTAGACACCACTGACATACGGTGAAGCAAAACATCGTGAGGAAACCTGAACTTATAATTTCTAATTATAAGGTTAGAATCGCTAACCCGCATTGAGCAAGCGCGGTGATTAATGCTCTAACTTTCTCCGTATGAGAAAAGGCCTTTGCTCAGCAGTGGGCACTTATAGGCTGATGATGAATGAATGACGAATGATGTGTGGATTTACGTTTATTCTGATTTTTTTAAGTAACCTGGTTTAAGTGCCTTAATACGTTCGTTATTTAAAGACTTCCAATTAATATTCTGCCTGATTAGCTTCCAGGGCTATTTACAGATGATAGAGTTAATAAATTGATGAATAATACCTTCAATAACTCACGTGTATTGATCATTCTGATGTTTATTATTAAATCAATGTCGTAGGAACTATGTACCTATGTAGGTATGTCTTCATAGTTGTGTAGGACAACAATAATCGGTGTTCATTAGTTGAATTAAAATCAGTTATATATTGAATGTCAGGGTTAAAAGATCAGCCGGGCTTGCGGGGCTAGCGCGGCCTAAATCAGGTAAAGGAACAGGGGGGGTTTTTAGTCAGTAAGAGTCTGACACTCTCTCTCGCCTTACTCTGGGCGAAAGAAAACATTTGATGATTTTCCCCTCACAAAAAAAGATATGACTTTACCTTCGTAAACTGGTATCTTACCGGAGGCCCAATTCCTCCCACTCCCCTATCCCTTCCCGATCCTTATATCCCCAACCCATATTCCCAAAACGCCGGCAACGCACTCGTAACTCCTTTGGTGTTGCGGGTGTCCATGGGCGGCGCCGTTTGCTTACCATCAGGTAATCCGTCTGCTCGTTTGCCGACTTATACCATAAAAAAAATCTTTTTAGGCGCGAATATCATCAAATAATATTTCTTCGGCTCTAGAAATGTAGTGATAGACTTTAAATGATCGCCCCGTTTCTTCTCCTGCAAAATCTGAGCCGCTTTTATCCTTACATTCACCCGAAACCTCGATTGGGCATCGGCTCCAGCAGGGGTGACCAAAGATGGGGTCTTTTGTGATCTGATGGCTCTATGAGACGCCCTGAAAATTGTGTGGCCGGGTTGCGGTGGCTTAAGGTCTAGCAGTGATCAGTGTGCTTTTCTGAAGTTGATTTTGATTATGAGTACTGGCTTTAATCGGGACGGTAACCAGTCGGCAATACCTAACAAATTCTCTGCATGATAATGTTTAATAGTTTTCAACTTAAAATGTTTTATCATAGACTAGCTACTCTCATGCGGTTTCACCCGCTGCTCGGCTCATTTAATCGTAGCTTGATGTTTTATAGCCTATAGCACACAGGAACATTTTAGCTATCTATCAGTGAAAGAATTTTGGCAATCCGACCAGCGGTTCTAAAGATTACCCCCTACATACAAACTTACAAATTTTACCTCTTTATAATATTAGCACAGATTAAATATTATTTTGTTTTGTATACACCACCCTTACGGTTGACTGGTAATTTTTGGCATTAATTCGGCCTTTGTAGGTATGTAATACATAAAGTGTTAAATACTTAAACAAATAAATCGTACTGAAAATATTTATTTTTATCGATTAGGCAGACAACGCGTACACAGATTATCTGATGATAAGCTGTTCCCATCACCAATGGACTTCCGCAAAATAAGAAAAGCAACGTTTAATTCTAGTCGTGGTGTTTAGAAGTGTAAGCAAACTATATATAAATTAATTAGCTCACGTAAAGCTTTGTAAGGGGGATTACGGCGAAGTAATGGCGTGTGACAATCATTAGGACAACGACTTACTAATGAGATGGAGTGTGTAGCTCGGATATGGATAACTCATAAATATAATAGACATGGCCGACAATGTTTTAATAATAACTATCGTGAGACATACTAAATCAACTAAAAATCGCGGGTTACTCACGTGTAAAAATTTAAAAAAGCTCTACTTTAGTTGATATGGCCGACAATAATAAATTTTTAAGTCGTAAGTCGAATTAAATATCTTTCATTGAAATGTCAAAAACGACACTTTCATATGAATTTTGTGTGTAATCACAACAGTTATTTATCTTTATATTTTAAAATTTCGTGTCGCGTGTTTGTCGGCGATGGACTCCTAAACTACTAAACCGATTTTAAATTTGATTTGCAATACGTGTGTAATTCGATCCAACTTGAAAGATATGATAGCTTACATCTCAAATTATAGTTACAATATTATTTTGCAAGAACCTTAGCCACAGCAACGCATGGCTAGGTCTGCTAGTTTATTATAAAATCTTGCTTCGCCATCATTATAAAAGTTTACCAATTCGACAGTTAGGCTTTACAGCCTTCTTTTTAATATTTTACACAAAGAAAAATATAAAAAAGGAAATAATTAATATGACGTCATATTGTTGTTACGACAAACCGCACCCTTATGTTTAAAAAGTTTTAAGTGCCTTGAAAAAATCTAAACTCAATCTAAGTGTATCGTTAAATCAATGTACGTACGAACAATGATGTATAAAACTATAGATACGTTGTCCGCGCTCTAAAATGACAACATGAAATGAAGGCAATTGACAACATCGCGCTTAGTTACGCACCAACCTGCCGCGCGACGCTACGTTTGTTTTTAATTTATATCGTGTGTAAACCTGTGCGAAACACAAAGAAAGCATGTCGTCGTGTGTGTTCAGACGATGTACAAATTATACTCCAAAAGTTAAAGACAAAAATGTGTCATTTCATGCGTAAGTTCACCAAACAACCTATTTTTATTTTATTTTTTTCGACGCCGGCGCCCGCCATCTTATGGCGGCCGGCGCATGAAGGTATAGTCACGTGCCGTCGGCATAACTGAAGATGTATATTTATCTCCCTCTAGCAAAGGCATTCCACTATACAATGTCATACTTTCTTTCCCTTTCTTTACTCGTAGAAGTAGTTATCTAGTATTTTCGCCGTTTTTAAGCGCCGCGATGTTGGTTCATGACGTGTCTATATATAATACGTCATTGCGTACGAACGTATAATTAGGTATATTTTAATAATTAATTGTATTGAAAAGTACTAATAATTTATTTCTGATCTACAGAACTACCTACTCAATTAAGTAGTACAATATTTTTTGTAGAGAGAGAGAGAGAGAGACAGCGAGAGAGAGAGAGAGAGAGAGAGAGAGAGAGAGAGAGAGAGAGAGAGATGATCCCCCCCCCAAATGCTTGTATAGATAATGTGAAAGTATTCATAAATTTACTGTAAAATACAGACAGTCTTAATGTGAATCAATATTTACGTACTTAAGAGAAAAAACTCACCTCGACACCTCGAAATAAGTATTTAGGTGATAAAATGACCTACCTTATTAAGTATACCATCCAACTACCGCGAGATTTAAGAAGATTTTCCGTCTATCTATCTATCATTCAACATTGCCCATAGCCATATCTACAACATTTATAGATCTATGGAACCCCTACATAGGCATTCTAAAGTTAATAGATTCCTGGAACGGAAATACGTAGGTACTAACTTAAGTACTATGGAAGCTTTTTTTAGAATACCTAGCCTAGTGATTAGGTTTTAACACTTCTCATTTCTAACGGTGTAGGAAAATAGGCATCTCTCGTGACTTAACGTCAATCTTAGGTAAAATTTTCGGATAGGACAATAAATTATCGGCCGATTTGTGTATAGTATAGACAAATAGCCCGTATAGACTCTATACTAATATTATAAAGAGGTAAGTTTTTATATTATACATTTTTTCACTGATAGATTGCTACAATGTTCCCGTGTGCTATATATAAGCTATAAAACATCACGCTACATGTAAAGGGAGCCGAGCAGCGGGTGCACCCGCGTGAGAGTAGGGTACCTAGTGTAATATAGTAATATGTATAAAAATATACAGTGAACTTGGCTAGTTAATAAAACCGTTTAAAAACCACCCGGTTTTAACTAAGTAATTCAAATTCAATACTTCTTCCAAAATGTCAAAAACAATACCTAATTAATTATTCTAAGAATGTTGTACGAAACAGCACGTTGTGACGTCATTTTTTTCGGAAACCTACTTATTTCTCTTGAATTATCATCAAAAATACGAATAGGTAACGTAAATATAAATTATTTTTTTAATATTTTTTAATGTTGAGATAATTTCTTTTGATCAATGAAACTATCCA